CGTGCGAGAAGGTGAGGACCGTACTATACTCAGTCTAACTATCGAGGGAAAATCCGCGCTGCCACTCGCACTCCTCCTTCTTTTCCTCCTCCTCCTGATGGTGGTGGGGTGGTACGGATTGATGCCGATCCATATGGACTATGGAGAAATGGAAAACGGGTAGACCGTGGTGATGTTACCGTTAATATTCGCAGTTTTATGGTTTGTTGTTTGAGTGGATTGATAGATTCATTGAATGAGAGCTTCCCATGGTCATTCATTTGACCTTTCTCCGGCACATCTATGTTTATGTTAATCTCCTCATCCATCTGCTCTGTCCCCTCCCCGAATCTCCTGGTCGCGCCATGATGCTGGTTGTTCCTGGCGGAAACAGGCACCGTGTCGGACAACGCGCCTTGCTCAGGAGATTTCGACCCGCTAGTAAGATAGAGCAGCCATCATCCTGGACCTATACCCTAGCAAGTATACAATTAACGTAGAGGTCAAGGTGTTCCTTTCCCACCCCCCTCCCCTTACCCCTCCTCCCATTTTCCCCTCTTTGATCGTGCATGGAATCGAGGCTAGGAACTAGACCGGTGACCGCATCACTGTCTCGGAAGCTTAAGTGCTGCTTACCCCAGGGCCAGTTCTCAAGGGGCCTCTTTCTGCCCCTTCCCCCACTCCCCCTCCCCCCTGGTAGGAGTTCCTGCAGGTGATGACGCCTTCACAGGGGGGAGGAGGGAAGATGGTTCAACTTGAACAGGTGACCATGTAGGTATCGTGCAACCTGCACAAGTGTCCCAGTTCAAGTGTTTGGCCGCGATCAGGCATCAAGCCGCGTGAAACGTTCGCCTAGGATCGATCATCTCTGGCATGGTACCTAATAAACCTACCCTCCTGTTCTGAGGTCATCATCATCGCCATGGGTTGTTCTCTGGGCCCCTGGGGTCGGAAAAGACAGTTGTCGGTCGGGAGAATCTCGACTCTCCTCATTCGCCGACAGCCCTCCTGGCTGGAAATTTCAGGACAATCTTGTGCTGGAGCTAGATCGGAAGAAGGAGCCAGATTACGAACAGGAAAAATAACCGTGGCGGGCGACTGACCCCAGGCGATCCGGCTGTTCGACGGGACGGAGAATAATAATAATTCCAGTTGAATTTCGATTTCCCCCCTTTCGGGAGAGGGTCCTAAAACCTGGCCTGTGATTACGGCAGAGCAACGGTTTGAAAGTTAATTTCCTTCTAGAAAGTTTCGAATGATGAGATGGGGGTGGTGCCGTGGTATGGAAAGAAAGAAAAAAAGGGATCGGGCATGGTTCCCAGATTGGCAGATTAAGCCCAGAGGGAGCTTTGAACACACCATTGCCTGGTTCAAGACAGTTCTCCCCACTTTCATCGCCGTCGTCCGGCCGCAGCTGCAGGGACAGGTCGCCCTGGACCTCTCACCGATCTGCATGTCACGTAGGACCGCATGCTGACTGTCGCGGCAGTGGGAGAGGCGATGACCACACACAAACACATACACACACGCGCCAAGGTGGGCTAGCTGGTAACCGCAAAAGCAGAGCTCAATGGGGCTTCTTCATGATAGTCGCAATGGGTTTAGGTTAAGGAGTGCGGTCAAAGGACGAGAATAAACATAATAATAACAATAATGATAATGAAAGGAAACGGAATAGCAATTGATGGGCCGTGGAGTAAAAGTCGACGACTCAACAGGTTGTCTTTCCTGTTACTGTGTAGTTCCTGCGACTAGTCGCCTAGTCCGCCTTGCTAGTTGTTGACGGACCTGACGGAAGCAGCAGCGAGGCGACTTTCAGTGTTCCAGTTCCAGTTCCAGTTCCAGTTCCAGTTTCCACTGCACAATACGTACTCAGCTGTACTTCCCTCCTCCTTTTCCGGGTCTCCGATTCGGTCCATTATTTCTCGCTTCCCGATAGACCTGATGATGGTGATGATAATGATGATGATGCTTCTATTTCCTCATTCTTCTTTTTTTAAATTCGAACGGGGTCGGTTCCTAACACCAGTCGTAACTTTGATGCAAGACCTATCAATCCCCCGAATCATGGATGGCTTTACCCTCTCCTTGAGTCAACTTCTCCTTTCCCCTTCTTGACCCTGACCTGTGTTTTTCTTTTCCCTTGTGCAGAAAGTGGCTCCACTACGAGACACACTACTGGATCACCAGTATCGCACCAAGACCAATCCGGCCAATGGAGGAAAAGTGCCAAGGGGGGACGGGCTTCCGTTGAGCTTCTAGAAGAAGTCGGAAGGGGGGGCATGGAAGGTCAGGAAGGCTTCTAGAGGCCTTTGTTCCCATGTGCCAGTGCGGCTGCGTCACCCACCTTCAATGCCGGTAAGTGGCCGGTGGGTGGCCATGTCTTTTTCTCCTGACGCCCGTGTCACATCCCTGTCTGGGGTCCAAATCTTCTGTTCGGATGTGTATGCGTGTGTACGTTTGTATTTATGACTTCGGGACAAGCGCGAATTGTCAGAAACGTTCCTATATTCTCCATGTCTTCACTACAGAATCAGAGACGCGGGAGACGGAGAAACTCAGCAGAGAAGAATTATGCGCTGGTCAGAGTGTCATCCTAATCACCCTAGGCGAACCAAAGAATGGGATTATTATCATGATCACGATCCGTCCGCATCGTCATCGTTGCCGGTCATCCCTGCAGCGTCCGTGTTGGCCGTGGATCAGAATGAAAATGATTTCCTGGGCCCCACGCTTGTCTTCCCGTCTCGGGGCGTTGGGCCACCGTAAGTTAATGGTGGTATTTTTTTCCCTTATTAAATGATATTCGTATTTCCATCGCAATCTCGCAGATCGCCCTGTCGCCTTTCCTAAATCGAGGTCTTTGTTTCCTTCGACTTGGCACACGCAAGGCAATGAGACTCAGGGAGTCAGGGGTGCTCGGAGTTTTGACAAGGGGAAGGGGAGGAAGGTAGAATGGAATCGATTGAGGAGTGTTCCGTAGCATGACGTTCTCTGCCGTTTCAATTAATTAAAGCAATTCTTGCAGTTGTAACAGGGGGGGGGGAATCAATCAGAAGGCAGTACGATTGGATGAGCGGGCTCAACTCCATTGCGACTGGTCGGTTGGGGTTTCATCTGCTGGTTTGAAGTGCGCCAACTGCGCTCCAGGCTTTTCCACTGCACTGCCTAAAGCAGAATAGGGGGGAACTCCATGGTGGCTGGGAGCCTGGGAACGATGAGGTATGCGTCTAGTAGTGCGGTGGTAGTAAACAGCCGTCAGATTGATGAGGGAGGCTTGTATAAGCAGCTGTCTCATGCAGAAATGTAGAAGAAGCATCTCCGGTGGTGTTCCGCGCTTGGACCAGGCAAGTATCAGATTCATGTCGGTAGATGACATCGGCCTGCAGGTTGAGCACTGAGCAACACTATTCACTTCTGGTTTCTCTCATTCTAATTTGCCAACCTTGCTTGCCACACTTCTCTGTGCGGAGCACAGTAACTACATCCGAATCCTACCTACCTCAAGTTGCAGCCATATTTTGTATGGGACCTTCCGGTTAAACCCTCATCAGGCAACTAGCACGGCCTCTCCGGTAGAAAAGGAAGAGAGCCCCTTCGCAGGACTGAAAGCATACATGACGTGCCTCGGCAATATTCGTCTCCCACTACTATACCTATCGATGGCCTTATACCCAGAGTGGTATACGGAGATCATTATTATGTTCTCTGGACTAACGTTACCCATACTAAATTAGTGCTTAATTGACAATCACATAGTATTCGAATTTCGAAACCCATCGGCTAGCTACCGTTGAACCAGTGCGAGCAAGCTCTTGCAGGTCTGCCCCGAGTCCTCAGGTGTGTCTCCCACACCGTCTTGTCTCTATCCTAGCTTGATCGACAGCCTATTCGAACTACCAACATAGACTCTTACTCTACCAGGCTATAGTGCCTTCTCTGCCTCAGCTCTGCCTCAGCTCCCCTCCAAACCCAATCCGTCATACCGACCCTGATCGTCAGTCTGGCATCCGGAAAATGAAGCCACCTCGACACTAGAAAGTGAGGACTAAGACTCTAAGCGGTAAAGTGAGCGTGGTTGTCCCCTCCCCAGTCCGTTTTTCCAGTATCCCCATCCCTCCTTCACCGTCATTTTCCAGCACTAGACTCCGGCCGAAGCAGCATCAACTCCTCCTCTCCGCCGTCCAGCGCGGAGACATCCACGCACAACTTTCTTCCGAGGGATAATGATCCACGAATGAAGGAGGCCTCGATTCCATTCGACCCTCTTGGTGTCGAGGTCGAGTCTTGACTTGACAGCTCATCCACAATGACACGAAAAAAGGGGAGACCAGAGCCCCATAACCCTACTTACCCGGGTGGAGGACTATGGTGCTGGACTCCATCGCGCTAAATTAGGAATGTTTCTGGAAGCAGCGTAGAAGACTTTCAAATTAGGGAAGTAGTGGAATAGGGAGAGGGGGGAAATGAAAAAAAGGGAGGGGTTCTCTGGTCACCCCTCCTTCTGTGTTCCAGTCTGCGCCACTACTCGTGAGTTGGTTGGAGACCAGAGAGAAAGGGGAAAGAAAGATGTTGCTGATTGTACGAGTACGTACGGAGTATTGTTCAGTAGACGCCACACCGACATCGACGGAGGTGGCTCCTCTCTTGGGTTTGGCTTGGTTAGTTAAGTTAGGGTTGGTTCGGAAAACTGGAGTCTAGCAACGAAAGAGCGGTGGACGGTGAGTTAGCTGATTGAAAGAACTGACTCGTACCTTGTGTTATTCGAGTGTACTGACTGAACAGCGCGAGAGCCATCGTTACCTGTCGAGGGAGTTTCTCTGTCTAGGTAGTTGGGAGATCCCAAAAGTTAGGTGTGGCCTATGCAACCAGACAAGTACTCGAGTAAAACACCAACTGGTCAACGTGGCCAAACATCCAACACGGCTTGGCATGTTTGTTCAACCGGCCGCTTTCCGCATCGCCGACTGTCCTGCAGACCAAACTTCGGCTTCAATTCTGCCCAGCGTAGCAAGCGAAATCACCTCTAGAAATCCAATACCTTCAAGTCATTGACCATGAACACAGCCTTGACCCAACCATTATAGGCCCGTACGAGTATCACATAAGCGACGTACATATTTCCCCGGGAAGCTAACAGACACCAACCAGGCAATCAACACTCTTCCAAATCTACACAGCTCCTCCGAAGAACACAATCTCTCTCCTTCGGACATCACCAAGAAGCCATGGCATCCCGCCGCGCTCTGCGCACCCTCAAGCACCTTGCGACCCGTCGCGCCCACTCCACCAGCTCCGTCTCCGCAAATGAGCTTTCGCATTTCTCCGCCCTGGCCAGCAGCTGGTGGGATCCCCAAGGTCCATCGCGCGTGCTTCACCTCATGAACCCGCTGCGCCACGACTTCATTGCCTCCTGTCTCTCCGACGCCGCCCCCCCTCCTCCTCCCCCCTCCGCCTCTTCCCCCGCCCCCTCCCCCGCAACCAACCCCAACACCCTCCGCTACCTCGACATCGGCTGCGGCGGCGGCATCTTCGCCGAGTCCCTCGCGCGCAGCATCAGCACCTCGCCCGCCAGTCAGACGGCGACCCCGACGCGCGCCGCCTCCATCACAGCCATCGACCCCTCGACGACCCTGATCCAGATCGCGCGCGACCACGCCCGGCTCGACCCCACGGTCGACGCGCACCTCCGCAGCGGCCGCTTCGAGTACAAGAACTGCACGTTGGAAGACCTCATCGCCTCGCAACAAACACCCCCCTCCACCTCCACCCCTACCCCCGAAAAATACGACATCGTCACCCTCTTCGAAGTCATCGAACACATCGAATCCACCCCGTCGGCGGGGATCTCCCCGCAATCGTTCCTGACGGACTGCCTGCGGCTCGTGCGGCCCGGCGGCTGGCTCATCGGCTCGACCATCGCGCGCACCTTCCCCTCGTGGCTGGTCAACCAGGTCATCGCGGAGGCGCCGTGGCCCATCGGCGTCGTGCCGCGCGGCACGCACGAGTGGCAGAAGTTCGTGAACCCGGGCGAGTTGGAAGGGTGGGTGCAGGAGGGGTTGATGCGCGCTGCGGATGGCCGGGCGGTGCGGGCGGGCGCCGCGGCGCTGGAGGGCATGCGGTGGAAGTGTGTCGGCGTGGTGTATTTCCCTGGGTTCGGGTGGAAGCTGGTGCCTGGGTCGGAGAGCTGGGGGAATTACTTCTGGGCAGTTCGGAAGGGGGTTTGAAGTTTAACGCCGAGGCGAAAAGAGAGAGAGAGAGGGGGAGAGAGAGAAATGGCTACGCATAAATGGCTTACTGAATCCACCACGGTGGAAGTGAGATGGATTGTATGATAGATAAGTTTATGTATTTATTGAATGTACTATACCTGTGTAAGGATAGACTACTGGGGTTTTCTGTGATGTTGCAGAATTGAAGCGAATATTTACGGACTCTTGCCTCAATGCAATTATTGTAAGAATAGCATTTGGATTCTTGCGGTTCCAAAGTGTGGGACTGTAGAAGGATGGCATCATCGTACACCATATACAGCCAGCTCCCCTCCCACCACTACTTCTACTTCCTCCTCCCCTTCCCTTTCTTCTTCCCACCACCACTAGGCGGATCAGGTACACTGACCGTCCCCTCTTGCACATCCTCGCCCTGGTCCTTCAACCGTTCGGAGCCACTAATGAAAAACGTGAGGTCGCGATTCTGCTCAGTCAGGTCTGCATTGGCAACCTTGAGGCCTGCCACCTCGGCGCTCAGATGCTGGATGCGCTCCATCAGGCTCTCATTCATCGTCTTCTCCTCCCGCCATTCCTTCTCCAACCTGCGCGCCATGGCCTCGAACCGCTCCGCGCGCTTCTCCGCGCGGGACTTATCCCGCTCCAGGCCCGGGATCGTCTCCGCCGTGAGCTTCTCGTACTGAGTCTGCAACTTGTGCAGACTCGTGACCGCCTGCGATGCGGCCTCCTGCGCGGTGCACGCCGCGGTGCTAGCCTGCGAGGCCTTGTCTACGGCGCGCTCGACCACTTCTTCGAAGTAGGCGCGCTGGCTCTCCAGTTGGCTGGTGAGGAGATGCGTGTACTCCACGCTCATGTTCTCCAGTTTCTCGCGCGGCACGGCGTCCGTCCAGTCCGGCGGGTCGAGGGCGCTGTTGTCTGCGGCAGGGAGCTCCACGAGCTTGCCGTCCGTCTTGCTCTGAATGATGCGATGCACGTAGGCGTCGCCGACGTAGTCCCAGACGCGCTGCGTGGCGAGGTCCATCGCGAAGGCGTGCGACGTCTCCTTGTAGTGCGCGAAGGCGTGGGCGCCATCGTACCGCCCGCAGCCGACGCTACCGCAGATGAGACAGACCCAGAGGTTCATGTCGGAATGACAAACGCTACACTCGGCTGATTCGTCCTCGGCAGCCATCGCCCCCTGGCTGCTTCGACGAAGGTCATGTTGGGTGTAGCGGCACACAGGGCAGCCGCTGCCTTTCCATTTCTGTAGGCAGGTGCAGTGGAAGACGTGTTGACAGATGATCGTGAGTAGACCGGTTGTCTCATCCATCCGTTCCAGGCAGACGGGACATGTTGGTAGCTCGATGAGTGCGGGAGTGGGAGGGGCGAGAGGTCGGGACGAGAGCGTGGCCGAAGGAGCGGCGGAGGTGGAAGCGGACGCCGTGCGAACCGGAGTGGCCGTGGTATTGTGAGGGGATCCGAGCGCACTCTGCTGACTGCTGCCTTCAGAGAGTGTCGCCGGCCCGACAGCTTGGATCTCGACCGTCTTCACGAAAACGACATGGCATGTTTCGGGCTGTCGGAAGCAAGGGCGGTTATCATCATGTTCCTCGCATGTGCGTGCGTGCCATGCGGCTGCACCGCAAGACTTAGCTTACCTCCATGCTATTGAACACCTTCCCATTCCAATCCTTCTGCCATTCTTTAGCCTTCTTCCCACTGCGGAACTTCATCAGAACCATGTACCGGTTTGCTCGAGCTGTCCTGATCATCCGGAAATGACTGACGTCGTTCATCGTTGTCTCGCCCACGAATCCCAGGAGGTCTGACGGGGACATGTACGACGGAACGGCAAGGATGCATAGTGTGGTGCAGTCCTCGTCCGGCATGGTCTCCTGACGCGAGGTTCGACTACTGCTCCCCTCATCGAAAGGCTGTCTCGCCGCGGCAGCGGACCCTTTCAATTCGGCAGGATAGTCATCCTCGATCAAGTATGGTGTCTCATGCACATCACGGTACAGATGTACTATCCCCCAGACGCTCTCCGATGCGCTTTGGTCCAGCGGTATGTATTTCCCTTTCGTGCGAAGTCCACCCAAGATATCCGTTCCGATGCCGGTCGCGATGGGATTGTCGCGGGACGGCCGCCAGGTTGTCCGGTTCGAGACAGCCGTCTCCTGTTCCGACGGGATCATGTCAATGCACTCGATCGAGACTTTGTCTAATCGAAGGTCCTGCTTGAGTTCCGATGCGCGTGTTGAGGATATGGTGAAGAGGTGAGGGGTAGATGTGTTGGTGGCGGCGGCGTGAGTGGAATCAGCGGAATTATCTAGCGATGATGAGCTCTGATGTCTGTTCCCATTCAAATGTTGGCGAGCGTATCGATTGGCTCCGTTCTGTGAAGGGCGTGGGCGTTTCTGAAATGGGAGCAGAGCTTCACATGCGGAGTCGAATGACAAGGAAGTAGAGTGTCGGTCTACGCCTGCACTGGCGCCTCTGAGATCGGAATGAGGGCGAGCAAATACTTCAACCGCGAGGTGATAGAAATATGAGGGCATACCGACCGCTGCTCATATCTCTACTCCTTACTGGTCTGCGAATTTTCGAACTCGTCGTGTGTGGATTATAGCAACTAACAAGTGGGCTGGCTGTCTCTCGCCGCCGGCGGGATAGCCTAGCCCAGGGATCACGTGTGGGTCATCCGGGGTGGCAAGTGGGACCCAAAGGACCCAACAAGAGCTTCTGCGGGCATGTTTATTTACAACCCGGTGTTCATATACTACTGCATACTAAAAAGTCCTTACGAGGTGGAAGAGAAGCCAGATCCGTTATAATCCGAAGATTGTAATATTCTGAGAAGCAAAGAGAGAACACCAATTAAATGGTGATACAAAGAGGTATGTTCGAATTAACCATGTCATAAAAAGCCATCAAAAACCTTCCGAACGCCATGCAGTCCAGTCAACCTGTGAATCTGAAACTGTGCAAGAACCAAGGAATCAGTTCCCACCACGAAGGCGGAGAACCAAGTGCAGTGTGCTCTCTTTCTGGATGTTGTAGTCCGAGAGTGTACGACCATCCTCCAGCTGCTTACCAGCAAAGATGAGACGCTGCTGGTCAGGGGGGATTCCCTCCTTGTCCTGAATCTTGCTCTTGACGTTGTCAATCGTGTCTGAAGACTCAACTTCCAAAGTGATCGTCTTTCCCGTGAGCGTCTTGACGAAGATTTGCATACCACCACGGAGACGCAACACCAAGTGCAAAGTAGATTCCTTTTGAATGTTGTAATCAGAGAGGGTCCGGCCATCTTCCAACTGCTTTCCAGCGAAGATCAGGCGCTGTTGGTCCGGGGGGATGCCCTCCTTATCCTGAATCTTGCTCTTCACATTGTCGATCGTGTCGGATGACTCAACCTCCAAGGTAATAGTCTTTCCAGTGAGTGTCTTGACGAAAATCTGCATACCACCACGCAGACGTAGGACCAAGTGAAGGGTAGACTCCTTCTGAATGTTGTAGTCGGAAAGGGTACGACCATCCTCAAGCTGCTTGCCGGCGAAGATCAAGCGCTGCTGATCGGGAGGAATACCTTCCTTGTCCTGGATCTTGGACTTAACATTGTCGATAGTATCGCTCGACTCAACCTCAAGAGTGATGGTTTTGCCAGTGAGGGTCTTGACAACTGCGATGAAGTCAGTAAACGTTCCTAGTATCCACGGCCACCTGGGTGGCAAATCCACGTTGCAGCAAGGGAACCTACAAATCTGCATACCACCACGAAGGCGGAGCACAAGGTGAAGGGTAGACTCCTTCTGGATGTTGTAGTCGGATAGAGTGCGGCCGTCCTCAAGCTGCTTGCCAGCGAAGATCAAGCGCTGCTGGTCAGGCGGAATACCCTCCTTGTCCTGGATCTTAGACTTGACGTTGTCGATGGTATCGCTCGATTCAACCTCAAGGGTGATGGTCTTGCCGGTCACTAAGTAGGAAAAGGTGGCGTCAGAATTGACCTCAGATCCATTTGGACGATGATGAGGTACTTACACGTCTTGACGAAGATCTGCATGATGGAAGACGTTTAGAAGACTGCAGTAAACGGTGTGAAAGGATAATGAGGCTGTGTGAGAGGAAAGGGTGGGTGGTAGAGCACAGATGAATCTGTGTAATGACAGAGAGGTATGGATGATGGAAGGAGGAAGGAAGAGGTGGATGAAAGCAGGAGAAGAAGGCTTAAGTAGTCGGGTGAAGAGGGAGAGATGAGGGGAGGCGGCGGCGGAGGCGAAGCGCCTTAGTCAGAGTCGAACAGGTCAGTGATAGGCAACCAGGCCCGATAACGTGATGCAAGGGAAGGCAGGAATACTTAATTAGGCACTGGGCAGTGAATGGAGAGGCAGTTCAGGCCGGGTTAGTCGGCTTAGTGAGTTACTATGTATGTAGTTAGTTAGTTAACTTAGAGGACCGTGTTAGTCAGTGTCAGCGCCCCTGTTGATTCTAGCATCTCCTGGCCCATTCTCGCACTACTAATCATGGATATGGAAAGTGAGTGGCTGCCATCTTCCTGCGTCATTTGGCTCCTCCAATCTACTTTCACTTCCTGCGCGCTTAGGAGGAATCTACTAGAAACTTACGCCGTATCCGTTGGGTGACTCAAAACTCACCCAGCGCTTCCCGGGCAGTTGCTTATCTTTCACCTGGACGCAACCAAAAGAGCCTATTTGGTACAAGAAAAATCTCTAACTGGGTTCAGGCAAAGAATCGCCATGCTCAGCCGTGTCTGCCACATGAAAGGATAGAGTCGCTAGAGACCGAGGGGGATGGAAGAATGCCTGGTATCAGTTCCGGCCGCAGTGAAACGGTCTAGGCAACGCCCGTCCGCATCCGCCACTGACGCCACCAGTCGGCATCTCACCCCGGATACAAGACTGAGCCTGAGTCCTCGCTCGTGTTCCTATTTCGAACGGCTCCGGCTGTAAACTCCAAAAAACGGCGAGTGTCTTCTATGCAGACTTTGATAGAGATGGCTCGCATCCGTGCTTGATGCTGAACAGGACGTTCTGGCGACTGAGTACGTACTTGTTACTTAGCTGGCATCACAGCGATGACGTGTAGGGAACTCCTTATCGGGGGGGCTCAGCTTCACTATCGGGGCTGGAAGCGGGATAGCGGAGAGACACTAGCGCTTAGAGAGGGTCAGGTGATCGGCGCATCCGGAACGCCCCCGCTTCCTGTCGGGTAGTAGACCACGGAGTATCTTACACTGACCGGACCTTGGGGTAATTTGTACAAGCGTCATGACTGCGACTACTAATAAGGTACTCATGGAGATGCAGAGCAAGACTCCATCCTTTCTGTCTACATCACCAATAGCATCATCTCACCCCTTGATTACCTCAGTCGAGTTCCCTCGATCTCTAGGATATCATTTCCGTGCCGATAGCTCATAATGTTTTCCGGTACCGAGGGCCCCGTGGTCACAACTACCCATACGTTACCGACTCAAGAAGGTTTCCATAGTCGCTTTAGCGCTACGTGCTCGTTTTCGGGGCACTGATTGACTCATCCTGAATCCCGTCGAACCACCCGAATCTGGCATCAACCCATCAATGCATATATATCAAACGACGGGAAATCAAGCATGCTTCGCAGAGAAAGCGAGTCCGCTTGAGCCTCGGAAGATGCAGTCACGAACTTCCCGTCCACTGGACGCAAAGCTACAAAAGGTGTGAATGGAACAGAATAGAGCGACTGAGTGGTCATATATGTAGTGCCGTGCGTAGTTGGACAAATTGCCGTCTTCCGATATTTTATCTACATGGCTTTCTTACACTGCAATCAGGGTCCCGTGATATGCAGCCCTGCGTCAGGTTTCCCTCCTACAGTATCTCATCCTTACCACTTCGAATCAATTTGAGATATCTACGTGATCAACCCTACATTCCACATCAAAATGCACCACAGATAATGAAGACGGCTTGTTGATAAGATTGCATCAGAGACTCCTCCACATAGCATGCCGACATCCCCTCGCTCGAACCAAAAAAAAATCCAAGCCCATATCTACCGTTGTGTCGACTAGACAGGAACAAGCATGGTTTGCAGGACAGCCAGTTATGTTGCAGTCAGAGGTAGTGAGAGAGGTCATATAGATCTTGGTCCAGCCTGGACAACGGTACAGTAGGCCAGGGGAACAAGTGCAGGGGGCAGAATAGTTGCATAGAAAAATGATTACAAGTTGTCAGCATGCTGATTGTGTTTACATACATTTGACCTTCTCTTTTGGTGAGAATCTTTTTACCAATCGCATATTCTGCTACTACGGCGTCCAGAATAGAGATGTGAACTAGTTTATCAATCTGTTGACTGGCACAGCAAGTTGGCCTTGACCTTATAGCTTCGCAACTAGATGTCTGTGTCAATAATTCCTTATGATGTTCGATTACTGATTTGCCTTCTCATGTAATCCTTACAAGAAGATGAGTTAGCCCTTTTCTTAGTTCGATGTATAGTCTATGCAGCATGAATTATAAGTTAAAAGCCTTACTATTTCACGCATTCCTGATCAGAAGAAGAATATAGGCGTTGTGCGTGTAACGCCTCGGTTCAGCGAGGGCACATGATTTTAAACAGAACTACGAGTATGTAAACACCACGAATTCGTGTAGATTTCTTCCTTCCTTACCAACTCCATGAATCTTCAAGGCATCAAGTTTTCCTCTTTGGGCCAGTAATTCTATCGGTATTACGTCTATAATCGACAAAGAACCATTTCTTAATATAAACGCTTTCATACCTCAAGAGGTGCTCAGGGCCTCTCCACAATGCGCATTGATTATAGGTGTGGTTGCCTATGACTTCATTGATCCAAGCTGCAGGCTTCGAAGGTACTAGGTAGACTTCTGGCTTTCGAAGTGAGCCTGTTAAGCATCGCTTGGGAAGTCAGACAACTTTTCACTTGGAGTGTTATTGGACTTTTGGTAGATCTGAATATCCTGACAACCTAGACTGCCAGTGATGGCTAACCCAGTCATCAAAGCTCAGCCCAGTGACATCTCAAGCATAGATGGTGAATGTATCCTTCCATATGATCCTCCCGCCATTGCAACCTCCCTGCCAAACCAAACATTACTTCGAACTTTTCCCCATACAGGCATTAGACGCGATCTCTGCTTTCAAGTGACCAATTCAGAGACTTTCTTCTGGATTCCAAGTTGTGCTCACTAATCCTTGATCCTTGTTTCCGATCCCAGCAACTACTCTCAACGCTTCTTCCAGACGATCAAGCTCTTTTCCCACCATTGTATAACAAGCCCATCAGGCTCTTCACAGACAACAACCACGCACCATGTACGAATGTGAGACATGTTCTCGCCAATTCCATTCATGGTCTGCCTGTAAGCAGCACATGACCGCTAAGGGGCACTGGGAGACATTTCGATGTGAGACCTGCGATGAGGAGTTTAACACAGAAGAGGAAGCAGAGGACCATATGCAAGAATGCAATCACTACGCGTATGACTACTCCTGCGAAACCTGCGATGAAATGTTCCGCACAGAGGAAGATGCAGATGATCACATGGCATACTACGGCCACTATGGTCCCCGGTTCCCTTGCGAAATATGCGACAAGCTGTTCTACAATTCTCTGACGGCCAGTCACCACATGGACGCTCTGCAGCACTGGGCTCCCAAGGTAGAATGCGAGACGTGCAACGCGGTTTTCTATACACAGGATGCTGCAAATCGGCATAAGACCGCAAAGGCACACTTCAAAAATTACTGCCCCAGTTGTGACAGATGGTTCCAGAACGAAAACAACCTACAGCAGGTAAGCCAAGATAGCCAAGATATACAATTCCGGTATGATGACTGACAAGGCCTCTTTACCTTCAGCATCTGAGATCGAAGATTCACCTCGGCCAGAACTTGCTCTGCCCCTTCTGCAAGAACATGTACACCACAGCTAGTGGACTGGCTCACCACCTCGAAACCGGCTCCTGCACCTGTGCTCCCAATCTCAACCGCGAATCCATCCATGACCTGGTGCGTCGTCTCGATAAACAAGGCAAGATTACAAAGAAGCTGCTCGAGTGGCATGCTAGCGACTCCGGTCAATATTCGGTTTCCCCAAATGCCTATAACGGGAGTGCCTGGGAGTGCTACATATGCCATAGAACGTTCGAGACTTCATCCGCGCTCAGTCAGCACCTGAACTCACCTACGCATAAGCAGCAAATCTATCATTGTCCCAATGTCAGCAAGTGTAGGAAGCAGTTCACCACTTTGGCAGCTTTGTTCAACCACCTAGAGAGCGAATCTTGTTCCTATATGAGATTCGAGAATGTCCAGAGGAATGCGCAAGGTATTCTTACAGGAAGGAAGCTCATAGGATTTTGATTGCATCCGCGATTACGGAGACCACATCTGAGCAAACCCATTGGGGAACACGTCTGAGAATCCATGACAGACTCATCGCCTATGTTGCGTTGCTCTTGGATGAGTATCTATCGGCCTCTTATGGCATTTCTCAACATTGTCTAGGCATCTTATTCCTTTTTCTCGCACGCTCCCCTGATTCCGGCACCAGTGTATCTTATTATGATTGTTTAGATATCATCTCATATCTATGTAAGTACTCGGACTACAAGCTCAAGCACAAGCTCAATCTGGAATAATCGTACCAACATTGGACTCGCTACGTAGGACTCAAGGAACCTCAGGGACAAAATGTCACTGTGTAATCCCACCCTGCCCAGCCATGACTCCGTGACCGGGATGAAAAACAATCGCGCTATCAAGTTAAATCCATAGAACTTAAAAGAGACATTTCCCCCCGCAGAGCCGGAACTGCAATCTGCGATTGACCCAAGATCTCAGACAGCCTCGCATCTGCTCTCCTGACAGTCCCTCTCTTCAATGACCCTGTCTCTTCGTGACCCGTCTTCAATGTCTAGCATCATGCAGCTTTTATGGTATCGAACCCACCCAGCAACCCTTCATACCTCCCTCTTTCCGAATTGAGCATCTCACACTGAAGACTAGAATGCCTTGGACTGATTCCACCCCTCTCAGCTCATCGAAAAGTACGCACAAACCCATCCTGAGGACCTCCTCTGGCGACTGCTTCCGTGCCATGGCCCATCCTCCTGTCTCGCAGACCTCGGCTCGGACACACAAGAACCCCACGCATACCCTTCCAAAACCGATGTAGAATGGGGAGGGTGGACACCGCAACGGTCCCCGCATCAGCCAGGGACAGATAAACAATTGATCTGGTTCTGAACTCCGGCGATGACAATATTCCACTCGGGGGGGGGGAGGACGTCAGTATACCTAGCTCCTCCAGGATCCCTGTGGAAGGAGAATGGTAACAGCTATGAAGTTTAGACATGCGCCAGCCCTTCGAACCTACGACAGCATTGAATGCCGAATTGAAAAGACCACGACTGCCTGTTGGTCGTCTGTGTATCGGTGGATCAGATACCATCGCTCTTCACTTTGTATTCGTCGCGGGACCCAGGATTCCTTGTACAGAAGCAAACTTGACAACACAACGGTAACATTCTACCGCTGGGACTATACCTCCAGTGCGTGATGTAGCTTGAATGTGATCATTGCGAGTGAAAGCTTAGGGACGGGCATCCAGGCTTGAGATGTCTCCCCTACAGAGCGACAGTAACCCTTCCGCAAGACATCCGCATTTGACCAGTGTCTATCGCCCAATGTCGCAGAAGTATGAGCATGATCGGCCAAGCGGAGCTCTGTACCTTCACAAGACAAACGACAACTTTCTCTCATGCGAGCCCTCCTCGACACGCCCATCAGGGGTATGATACCCTTTGCACAAGTGAATCAATATACTCCTAAGGATGGCGGACGCGAGTTCCTAGACATATCACGCCTAGAAGAATGATAGGACCCTCACTATGGGAGTAAGCATTGATTCAGGATTGCCTGTCGCAAGCCTAAAGGGGATGTCGTCGGACCATGAGACGTGTTCTGCCAGTATGAGTTGCAATTGCTTTCGGTAAAATCATGGGTGGTTTGGGAGGCAAATGTACAACTTCGTGCTTGGAGAGCATTAGGACAATAATTCGCACATTACTCCATCAAGTTTTGATCGACTATCCTTGAATGTGCTTGCTGTGTTTGTATCTTTCGACAGACAAGTAACGCAAGGATCAAAGTCGCAGTCACTAATAAGTTGAAGCCATTCAATTCTTCAGATCCTACTTCCTTTATACCACCAGGAGTAACCCATACCATTTCCTGCTTCTGGACACGCCCACCGGATCTGCATTATATCACTTCGCTAGCCATGATGCTCAAACCCGATGACATCTGCTACCAGGAGCACGGTTTCATAGTCTCTGAGCTGGTCACTAGATCCATACTCTCAAGCACAGCAACAAGGGGGCTGCCTACACATGAGACTCCCATTCCAAAGAGTCTGTCATCAAGACAAGACTTGGCAGGATTCCCGTCAACGTCGGTAGTATGTGAGGCATGGCAATAACGAAAACATAAGTCATGAGCATGTCTTGGGAGGAAAAGAAAGGAAAGCCCTTGCAAGCGCTCCATGGTCTAATGCTCACGGTCGACGACACCACTGAATAGGTAGTGTGGCTAGGTAGCCAAAAGCACACTCAGGGGATCTCGTTACCGAGCCCCCCCAAGACATCATTGGCATGCAGCCTACTATCCCAGCGCCACAAACCCACAAACCAAAAAGAAAAGCCAGCCTTGTTTCATAACACCCCCTCGTCAGACCGTATCTCTGGTCGATCGGTAAACCGCCGCCTTAAAGTTCATCAGATCGATCGATATCAGATTCGGCCACCCCCCCGACTGCCCCGAAAGAAGAAAGCGCCTCAGAGGGCCGGCGAGGGCCCATCCCCAAATCCCGGATCCCCCCAGGCGACAGTGACCGAACCGAGATCTCGCTTGGGAGGGGAGTGTGGGAATTGCTGACCAGGGAAAAAAACATCCGATCCTCGGCAGTTGTAGCCGCAGATTCGCCTCTTTGCAAAAAGGGGGGTCTTAAGGAGGGGGGGGGTTAGACTCAATAGTCTAGTCCAGACTAGTAGACATGGACAATGGCGATGGGAAATGGAGAAAATGGAAGTTTCAGGACGAGTTCTAGATAACTCACTCCCGTAGTCGCAGCGGTTCGAAGCTGGCAGGTTCCACCGGGCCACGGAAACTCTAGCCAGCGAATTAGCATAAGTGGGAGACTGCGGCGGTAGACTAAGCCCAGCGCAGCACTTCCGTAGGTAAGAACTGAACCACATCCAACTGGAATTTCGCCTGTTTATCCCCCCCCCCCTCTTTCCCTCCTACTCCTCATAATCTCGCTTGATGTACTGTAGCTGTGAGCTTGAGAGTGACTTCGTTTTATTGCATTCTCTGGTCATGTTCTGGTTTGTCCAGTGGCTATAGTGGATCAATGGACTCATGCCTGGGTTGTGTACGGAGTACTACTCCGCATACGATGAGCACGGCACATATAGGCAGTACGGTGTACTCCGTAGAACCACATCTTACCTCCCCGATCCTGACCAGGAGACCCGCGTGTTGCGACGCAGTTGCGACGCAGCTGAGATGACAGCAAACAAAGATGAATGGACCACAAATGGGTGGAACCATATGCATTATTGTTCAATAGAAGAAAAGAAAAATGGACTTGAAGTGTCAGATCAGGTACTGACAGGGATTCGCCCCTGTCGTATCCATCTATAAGGCGCTGCATTATGGCTACCTCTCAACCCTCAATACTATCTAAGCCTATGACTTGTATAGTTGAGGGTCTGCACTAGCAAGTAGATATCTACCGAGTATCTATCTACGCACACAAACCTATAAGTTAAAACGGTCGTGAGGGGGGTATCGCATGGTCCCTCGCACCAATTGAGCATCCTATGAGTACTCCGTCGATTCACTAAAATATGTGTAGTGATAGAAGAAGCAGTACCCGCATACGGATCTTTGTAGTGGATGATGAATGGTGGTACAGGGACCGGAAACCACAACCAGAAAACCACAACCACATCCCCCTACTACATTAAGCAGGACTAGACTGACGGACGGCAGTCCTTCCGACGGTACGACGTCGGGTCAGACAAGGTTCCATCTCCTGCAGGCTGATGTCATGGCTCGTGGGGTTGAACGACGGGGGCTAGTGATACGGTACTGCGCTGCGATGATCACTTGATCAGACACTGGGTGGACGGGGGGGCGGCCATCAATCAAACATTTGACTCGCTATTGATCGGGGTTTCGGCAGATGAGATGTCAAAGCTCAGGTGAGATATGAGTTCGCGAGTAATCACTTAAGTTACTCCCTGCGGAATAGGTAGCGAGAGGGGCAGACTCGGGACTAACTATGTACTACTGGGTAGACTAGTACATAGCTGCGATGAGTTAGGGGAGATCATGCACCGCAAGGAGGTGGTTACCGTGATCAGCGCAGACTGGCGGTGCTTTGTTCCTTCCTCTATGAACATGAGGGTTCGTGACCCGAGGCAAATGACCCGTCCACCCGAAGCAAGGAAGGACATGTAGAGAGTAGAGAGTACAGTGTCCTCATGTAGGTGAAGATCTATGAATTGATGACGGGCCGCTGGCAGGTAAGCCTACGGAGTAAGAATTGCCTAATCGAGCTCAGCGATCAACCGCTGCCGGAGGAATAGACAGCGAGAATCGGCCGGAGCGAGAAAAGCCACCTCTGTACGGAGTACTGTACATGCTTGCATGGGAGTCATTATTGGTAGTTAAGTGGAGGGTCGGTCGCCAGTGAATTTAGGGCCCTACGGTGCTGTCGGTGGCGCTGACTCGAGCAACCACAAGATAACCTCGCCTGGAGCACATGATTCGAGTCAGGGTAGATCAGACTGAAATTCCTTCTCTCAGTCTTTATTTCTGTAAGCCTGCAACTCTAAAGGGCATAAATTGATCCCCTCGGCGCAATCGCCCTTCTCTCAGAGTCCAGACTAATAATCTAAATTCACAACCGAAGGAGCAAAAGTCACTTTGGCTCGGAGGCTGAGCCGGAGAAAGAAATGAGTGGGAGACGGCCCAAGCTTTGGCTGTCTTGGCAAAGCCCCGCCAACGTCAGCGGCGGTCATGATTGGCACCATTCTTTCCCCGCTATGATGTCACTCGGAAACAGCTGCTCTCCATCATTGGTCTCTTCTGCCCGCCAGGCCCCAGAGGGCTTTTCCATCGGCGTTCATGCGTCCTGGTCGTTTCTGGATCTCTTCATCTTTCCTGGCAAAAAAGAATAATAAAAAACGGGGGGGAAAAAACAAAAAAAAAAAAAAACAGCCAGGGCAACGGCATGTTCAATGACGACTTGCCCTCCACTGTTTCTCACAGCTGTAGATATATAGACAGACTCACTAAGATGAACCCCCATCAATTGATCTTGTCCTTCTCGAATTTCGCAGTGTGAAGGGCAACACCCTGTACGCCATGGAGCTCCATTTATGGCTGCCCTAATACCGAAATCTCTCATGTCCGATGGCCTTCAATCCGCCGGTGACTGTCCCTCTCCCCGCAGCCAACGGACGGACGGAATCATGGAATTTGAGTCAAGGGAAGGATTTCCTCGTTTCGTGTCCTCTGATGAGCATGAACTTCTCTGGTGTTTGCACCATTGGTACTAGCCCAACCAACACCAGCCAACCCCTGAAAGCCTGAAGGGCCCAGAACCCTCCCCCCTTCTTCGGGCAACGTCGTGGCGAGTTCAAACCTGAACAGGGTCCAGGATCGGTGGTAGTGGTGGTGGCTGGTAGTCGGACAATTTGTCGTCGACGCGGAACGTCGCAAGCATCATCGTCAACAGGATGGGGCCTAAAGATGCATGGACCGCTGCTATTCCCGAGCGTTTTCCACCCGGGATGTACCTATGTAGCTCTTTCCTTGATTTCAAGGCTGAGCTCTGATCCTATTACCTAGGGATACAGGTTTGTACCGGGGTTAATACTCCTGGTTCCACGTGCCCTCATGTCCCATTACCTTGCTGATGAAGTTGGTTGAGGGTGTCAGGCAGTGGTGGTGTACAGTACAGTGGTGGAGATTGACGCCAATACCCGAAGAAAAGGCATCTTGAAGACCGACACACCCCCTACGTCAGTTGTGGCCCTATGATTTCAGCCTGCATCATCTTCCGGGTGGAGAATGCGAATTGGCCGTTCCTTCGTTTGACTCTGTCGAGGAAGTCAGGGAACGAATGCATGAAGATAGGTCAGCAAGAGTGAGACAACGGAGGTTTGTCCCCAGGCTCTCAGACCTGCAAGACTTGCCAATACTGGTGAGGCAGCCTAGCCCCCCTTGATGCCTGTCATATCTGTCTTCTCTTCCTCTTCTCTTCAGTTAGGTTTTGGAAGAAAGGCATTTTGACTGGGTTGATGGGCGCAGACTGTGGAAGGTGACGATGATGGAGTTGTGCATTCTTGGTTGGGGTTAGTCCGTCCACCATGGATGAATAATGAATGGATTGGATGGTCCCGGCTGTTTGTCCAAGGTTCCCTTTTTTGACGCCCTTTCCTTTTGTTCAGTTCTTTTTCTCTCTCTTCTCCCCACATACCTCCCCACCAATCGCTGGCTTCATTATTTGTGGAATGTTTGACCTAAATATTTTTGAGGCTTTCCCCCCCCTCCTCCCTTCACTTTCTTGTGGATTGTTTCTTGCTTCAAGCTGACTCCCATATATCTGGGCATTGCTGTTACTCTGGCGAGGTAGGTGATCAAATCAGACTGTGCAGTTCATGGATAAGATGGTAAGAGTCGAAGGAAATAATATGAGTACAAAAAGCGACGCACGGTCAACATCAATGGAAGTAGACATTGACATTAATCTTGATTGGGATATCAGTCAGCAACCCTCCGCAATCAGGCGTGAGGAGTCTCGGGATGACGACAGAGGATCCCGTCATCGGCTGTTTTATATGCTTGAGTCCCGCTCTCTCTTCTTCCACCCAGCACTGATCGTCGTCGTCGTCGCTGCAATAACAATTGTTCTACGAATCCTTTCCCACCGTCTAGCCCACCTCCCCGACAGTCTGTAATCTTTCTCAGTCCCTTCGATAGCTCACTGAGTACTCAGTGCAATAATCATTCTCATCTCGTTCTTAACAAGTGCCACTGAACTGTCAGCGGGTACTCTCTGATTGGTGTGAATATCATCAAAATTCCATCTCCTGTATGATGCCTGCTGCAGCCCACCCTGCCGGTGTCCAATAAGTTGACCGCTTCACATCAACCTCCACCCTGTCACTTGTTCCATCTAGTTGTCTCCATCTTTTTCCTCTTCGGATATTCAGTTTTTTTTCCCTCTCGCTGACCCCCCCCCCCCCCCTTTCTTTTACCCCCTTCGGTTCGTCCCATGAGGGCAGATCCACTGTACCAACCACCATCTGATCCAGAATCCTTAAGCACCTCGATAATCCCAATCCCCAGTCGCTTCGACCCTAACGGTGACTAAAATAAGGAACTTACCGTAAGTAATTCATTCCACTTGGAACCAAAGGCACTCGCACCAGTTTCAATTCTGTTACTCCCTGGGAGTATTTTGCGGTTAAGATTTGACTGTTAACCGCAAATCGTGTTCACCATCGGGACTAATTCTGCACTTCTCGAATTCTTAGATCAAACCTGACCACCAATTAGTGAGTAAAAGAAACAGACCCAAAGAGACGAAAAAGAAAAGGAAAGGAAAGTGCCTTACTTCCTGTAGGTACCATACTGTATGATTCTTCATTATTTTTATTTGATCTGTTTTATCGGTTGTCCGCCAACCCAGCCCACTGGCTCCCCTCCTTTCTCTCTCTCTGCCCCTCCACTTTCTGGTTCCTCTTTCACGGCGCGCCTAACAAAACTGTGAAAGAAAAAAAAAGAGAAGAGAAAAAAAAAGGAAATTCAGAAAACACAAAAAAAGAACAAAAGAGAAGGGGGAAAAAGAGAACTTCAATCGCTGTCCCCCTTCTGCGTATCTCCCTTTCTCCTCTCTCTCTCTCTCTCTCTCTCCTCTCTCTTTTTTCTCCCCCTCCTCCCCTCTTCGCTAATACTTCCATCAAAGTCACTTGTCCAAATCGGGAACCTTCCTGTCCCATCGCCTCTTTTGCCTTATCGTCATCATCTCTTCCCCATCTCTCTTAATCTATTTTAATTTGGTTATTTTCCGTCATAGGTGCTCAGAGTTGCTTGAGACTATTCGATACTCGAACCACCTGAACTGTGGAAAGGAAATTGGGTCCAAGGTGGGAAAAGTCCCCTCTTCGTGCTTCACTAGGAACGCGTTGTTCTTTCTCAGTGTTTTCTCAGTGTTTCTTGCTCTCATTTTGCTTGTGCTTGCTTCCGCTTTTTGACATTCGGCTGTCTTCTACTCTACCTCTCTACACAACCACTACCCCTCCCCCTCTATTCTTTTTCATTACCTTATCCACTGGCCACTGCGTGACTCCGTCTCCTCCTGATCCAGACAGCTGTTCTCTCTAGGTGATCTCCATATGCGCCCCATTTAGTGTGTATGTGCTGTGATTGATTGATATCTGCATTTTGCACCGCACCATATCTCTTTCCTTTCCCTTTCATTCATCTTTCACACGCCACTTCACCTTGGATCCCAGTCTCACCGGTTTCTTTTGATACCTTACCCCAGGTGGCGAGAGCATATCTGAAGCAACCTTCGCAAGCTGCAAATTAATTAGATTCCTTGTCTGTTCCTCTTTTCGCCCCGCTCCCCATCCCCCCTCTGTTGAGCTTCCCTTAATTATTCACATCCTTGTCTTTTGGGATTTGATCTTGCATTCCGCTACACACACACATACATCTTACAGTCAATCTTGAATTGATGAACTCCCCCTCTGTCCATCTTGTGTGCACTGCTGTTTGGACAGTCTGCTCTATACCTTGATTTCTGTGTGTGGTGCTAGGTGGATTTCTTTGAAGACCTGTCGTAACACCCTCATTGCGTAGGGCCATCTCACCAGGAACCTGTCGCACTACTATTGCTGTTGCTGCTGTTGCCGTTGTTATTGCCACTGCTGCCGCTGTTGTTGTAAACTTGCTATGCGGACCAAAAAGACCAAAACTGACCAGTGAATCCTCTACAGATTCGTGCCGTGTAAATTTTTCCCTCCCAAACCCCAAGTATACCCGCTGTGTTCGCAGGTTTCCGTTTTGGGCTCGGCGAATATCCGGAATAGACCGACCCACAGCGTCAAAACAGAAGACAAGCGCGCAAGAGCCATCCTTTCAGTTCGGGTGATCGCGAGAGGGCGTTTGACTTCCCCTCCCCCGCCAACACGAGTCACTTTCCACACCTCGATCCAGCCAACCGAGTGACAAGCTTCATCTCATCACCACCGATTTCCACCATGGCGCCCAGCACCACCACTAAGACCGTGGAGGAGTCTGTACGTACCCGCGAGCCCCTTGTCCAGAAATGCCGTTTGTAACTGCTAACTGTGCGCACTAGCCCAAGGAGAAGATCAGCGGCACCAACAGCACCGCTGCTACCAACGACACCCCCAACAACACCACAACCACCACCGCTGCTGCTGCTGCTGCTGCTGCTCCAGCTTCTGCCGATACCCCCAAGAGCAGCAGCAGCGGTGCCTCTGCTGCTCCTGCCACCACGACCGCCACCAGCGCCGCCGCTACCAACCCCCCAACCACGCTGGCAGAAATGTCGGAGACCATCGACCAAAACACATTCGAGCAGATTCTTGAAATGGATGACGAAGGCGATAATGACTTCAGTAAAGGCATCGTGTTTGGATTCTTTGATCAGGCAGAGAACACATTCGATAAGATGGAGAAGCACCTGTAAGCCATGGTCTTCATTCTTTCGAGTGCTTACTGACCCTCGATAACAACAGCGCGGACAAGGACTTGGCCGAGCTTTCGTCTCTGGGTCACTACCTGAAAGGTTCCTCCGCCACTCTGGGACTGATTAAGGTCAAGGACGCATGTGAGAAGATCCAGCACTACGGAGCCGGCAAGGATGAGACTGGCACCAATGATGAGCCCGATCAGGAGGTTTCGCTTGAGAATATCCGCAAGACCCTGACCCAAGTCAAGAAGGATTACAAGGAGGTCGAGGCTTTCTTGCGCAGATACTATGGAGAGAGCCCCTAAACCACGATCAAGGAAAACCCATCGAGAACTTCAGATGACCCACGGGGCAAGGTAGAGAGAAGATGAAGCAAGCATGCTGGGTTACTGAGTTGAACTGAATAATGCCGCGTGAGGGAGTGAGGCCATACACTCCGTACAAGAAGACCCAATGCAAATCGATACCGCCCGAGCGGAGAGGTGACCACGAGAGCGAATCACCCTTCCACACAATAAAAGATAGTCTTTTCCATCAAGGCTGCACCACAAGCGAGGAGAAAGGGAAGGGAACAGCAGCATCTGTTTGTATTTTTGTCTCTTGCATGTCATCTTCATCATCATCGTCGTCGTCGTCACGAATCATCACGAGGGTTGATCGCACTTTTCAATTTTCATCTAATACCCAATTCCCCTTCCCCCCCTCCCCTCTCCAGTCTTCTGTCTTTTTCGAGTTGAACCCTAGCCCGCGTTTGTTTCTTTAGACCCACCTTGTATATGAACCTGTGATTCCTCCAAGCCAAGGGAACTTAGGATGAGACAGACAAACAGACAAACTCAGGGTAGATGATTTGCTTTTCCTCTTCTCACTTCACCCTTATCACGCCAGTCTAGTGGTAGTTGACTCGTTCTCGCGCGAAAGAGTTGGGGAGGAGGACGAGAGGAAAAGGAAGAACCGATCCGTTCAGGTCAACTGTCCGCTTTGCGGCTCAAGAGGGAGAGAGGATGCGAATTGGACTGGAAAGGTATGTATGCCTGAAGCGTATTTGTGTTGTGTATATAATTGAGTGCTGGTGTGCGTGTCCTCTGGGTGTGGGTGGTAGATGTGGCCTTGGTTCGAACCCATTTCTCCGTCTGGATGTACAACCCATCGCCTCACTTATGACCTTTACACGGAAGTCCAGATTGCGCAACCATTTGGGAGCCGAGAGGTCAGGGAGGGAAGGAAACGGCGACTCGACAGTGAGGATGTGCTGCTGGGATGTTGCGTGGTTAGATTGAATCAATGTTGTGCATGCAGGAAATCTCGAGAGTCGGTTCGTCTGTCTTTCTGTTTGTCTGCGAACAAATGTCTTAGCCCGGTCCTGGTCATATTCATGGTCATGGTCATGGTCATGATTATGGTTATGATATTCTGAGGGGGAAGGGAAGAACTGTAAACAAAAAGAGCGAGGCTGGTTTGTGTGGTGGTGGGAACTTCCTCCTTCCAGCTACATCCTATTATATTTTCTTCTGCTTTTAAGCATATAGAAGTTCTTCTTCTCTCCCTCCCTCCCTCCCCCCACCTTCTCTTCCCTGTTGCACCTCACCCTCATTCCATTCCGGATTGATTGATCGATTCAATAGAGTGGGTTCCAGAAAAATCACAACGGACCTTGCAAACCAGACCGGAGTGTTTGTTTTCTCCGGTTTTTTTTCCCCTGGTTGTCGATGATGGATCAATCACCCACCCATCAGCCTTCCTATCTGTCCATCAGTCAGATGAAGTGACTCCCTGATCCTTCCTCCTGTCGGAAGGGCACCCCACTAGCCGTATCTTCTCTTCCCACCATCTTCTTCCCCATGGGATTAACAGCCACAACTGGATCTTGCCCAGCCCAGGAGACCCTTCCCTGACCTGGATGAAGCGCGGTTTGGTTACACAACCGACGGTTAGACCGGGATGGGCGGGTTGTATGGATTGACTGTTCGCACATTCCTGCTGTCTTTCTTCTTTGATATCCTTTGTCTGGAGAAAGTACTAAAGTTGAAATCTGACAGTCTCATCTTTGGGATTTGCGATAATGTCTCGGTTGACCACCCACCTACCATGATCAACAAACCGGATTGGATGAGTGGAATCAAGATCCTTCTGAACGTGTGTTCCGTCTCCATGCACATCAAGACAAGAGGGGGATGTTACATGCCAAACCTGAACCTAGCAACTTCATCAGGTCAGTCGAGCATGCAAGTATGGTCTTGGTTCGGATCGCGTGACTCGCTCTCGAGGTACAGTACTCACTGGATTTACGTGCGTTCCATACTTCTTCCCCAACATCATATCATCACATTGTCATGGCCTCCCTCCCTTGTCCTTGAAAGTCGTCAAGAAATGGCCTGACAATCAATCTCGGTAGTTTAGTCCATTTGATCCAATGCAAAGTCGCCCCTTGTCTCCAGACATATCTCCTGACGATCGGATAGATACATACACTCCCCACCATTTCCCCTTGTCTATAGAGTGGGACGGATGACGGATGATTCCGACCCGGGGTTGCTGGGAAACAAACGGCTCTCTCACTCTCTGGTGTTCTATTGTTCGGGTCGAGATGGGGAAGAGGGGTTGTGATGCTCAAATTCTATCTTCAACTGAGGACGAGAAATGGTGCAGCTGCAGCAGATCCATGAGGATCTATTCTTCCAACGATCCATTCCTCCGTCCATACTTTTTCGGCAACCTATGCATCTTATCTATCTTGCTAGGTGCGAGTTAGATCATAGGTAAAGGACAAGATGATACACAAAACAAAGGGCAGATCCTACATCTGATAAATCCTTCCCTTTGGGAACAATTGTGGCAATCCGCCCCGAATCTATCCGTCGTGACTCTCATAGCGAACCGTAACTGACAATCCTCGTTCAGATCCATTCAATCTCGTCGTACAACTAATTCACTGAATTACCATCCATCTCATCCTCCCAGTTCTCAGATCCATTCCGTTCTATTCCATCGTTCATATTGCCGTTCGGAGAAAACACCCACCCCCTAAAAGTTGGTCTACGATGACCAGGGCCATCTGTTTGATTCTCTACAACCCTCCTCCCCCATCCACTATTCTTGTACTCAACTTGCCGACCTCATTAGACAAGAAATCCTTGTTCAGCAGGCGTTCGCCACGCTTTTCTGCGTTTTCACCCGTTATTCTCCCCGATGTTGAATCCAAACCAGGAGACCAGGGGGGTGCGATGGGGGTGGGATCATGGACCGATCGAAATTTTTATATATCTAGGTGTCACTAACCTTTGACCCCTCGAAAAACCAACAACGCATCCACTCTTCATTATTCTTTTCTTCTAATCTCGTTCAGTCTCTGGGCAATCCACGACCCAGGTTCTTTGCCTCTCAATCTGCTCTTCTTTTCATTGTTGTCACTTCCTTTTCCTTCCCGTTCAAGAACTTGCACTGGCACACGACTCGATCCAGCCGTCCTGTCCACTCATTCATCAAAACTTGCAAACAGCAAGACCAAAAGCAATAGTCTCGCTTTCTTTCTCTTCTGGTCGCCTAAGCACGAAGTAAGAAACATGGCTGTGGGCCCTCGAGCCTCCAAGGAAGAGTTTATGCAAGCCCTAGGCTTGAACTCGCATGATCCGCAGCATGAGCAGTATTATCGTGCAATGAGGGTGAGTAGTCTTTCTATTGTGTGTATTCCATGATCGATTGTGTATACACCCTTTCAAGCATGTCTGTCTCCTTGCAACTTCTACCCTGATTACCTCCGTTCACGCTTCTTTCTATACGCGTGTGAGCTCCATGGTGAAGATACGCCAGGCCTCGAACACACTTCCTTTTAAAAAACCATACAAACACGCCTCTTCTACTCCGGACTGTCTATACACAATCTATCTACCCGCCCAGCCATCTATCTCTACCCTAAACAGCCCTCATCCCCATCTCCTCCCCTACCTAACCCAATATCAACCTCCCCCCACCCCCCACCATCATTAAAGACCCCCCAATCCCAATCCCAACATCCAAAACTAATACTCGCCTTCCTAACATCAGGACGAAGCAATCCTAACCTACAACCACCTCAACGAAGACCGCTCCAACCTCCTGGACAGCGTCGCCGCCGACCCCTCCACCAAACCCCCGTATTTCTGGCACCACATCCGCCCCGAGCGACAACGGTGGGGGATCCTCGAGATCGCCCGGAACGCGGGTCCCTTGACCCGCCCGCTGTTCGCTCGCGGGGCGGTCGTCACCTCCGCCACCTCTCCAACCAATACCACCACCGGGGGCGCGGCTGCCACAGGCCCAGGAGGAGGAGGAGCAGCGGGAGCAGCGGGAGGGGACACAACCGGCGGCGGCGGCGAGTACGGACCCAACTGGGTGGCGGGGTGGTTGCTGTACAGCGTGTTTCGGTCCCGGGATGTGCGGAATAATCGCAATCGCAGGCGCGGCGAGGAAAGGGGTAAGTTTGCTTTTTTTCTTTCTTTTTTTTCGGTCTCTTTCTTTCTCATGTCCTCTGGTTGTGATCCCGGAATTTGACCCTTGAAGAAAAGAGGGGGACGAACAAGAAACTCAAAGCCCAGGAGAAGGTTGGAAGTATACATACATACATGTCTATGTGCGGAGTCAAAACTATATACATTGTATCCTGTACACATTTGGAAAACCAAACCAAACAAACGAATATTAACAGAATATCTAGGTCGCTCAAAGTCGCCACAGAGACAACCACAACCGCAGAGTCAGACGAACAGTGGCGTCTCGGGCAAGAAGGAATATTATGATCCGGTGCGGAACGGGTGAAGGCGTGGTCAATTAGCGAAAGTTGTGCGGAGTGAGCGATGAGGATGGAAGAGATGATCGATCAGGTTCGAAAGGACGAGGGCGGTTTAGCCTAGAATAGACTTTTTCGAGCCCCCCAACCATGCCAATCAATTAATCCTCTGCATCATTGTCATTCTGTCGAGAGCCGTTCTTCTGCGCGCGCTCCTGTTTCAAAGCTTCCGTCACGCGCTGGTCACGCTCGTCTTTCAGCTCGTCCCAGTCCTCGTCGTACTCGGCAGCAATGGACTTGATCTCCTTGCGGAGCGAATTGCCCTCGTCGATCAGCGATTCCCACAGCCGCAAATCCACCCCTTTCCTCTCGTAGAGCTTCTTCTGACGCGCATTGATGGTGAAGTCGAGGGCCGACCGGTACGAGATTTCCCGGTTGTGATAGAGGAACCACAGATAGCCACCCATCAGGGTCGACAAACTGACCAGGTAGGTGACGGGCTCCATCGTATCCCAGCCCAGGTCGGTCTCGAAGGTGAGTTTGTACACCAGGCACCACCAGAACGCCAGCACGCCGAACCCGCCCATGGCCACGCGCTGCGCCCCGCGGTGCGCCAAGGCGTCACATTCATGCTTGATGTCCGCGATGTTCTTGATCCGGTCGGAGATCTTCCGCAGCCGCATGCGCAGGAAGTGCGTGCGCTCGTTGAACGAGGGCACCGCCACGTGGATCTGGTGCTGGCCCGCCGGCGCGCCTTCGACCGAGACGATAAACTCCCGCGCGCGGGCGGCGTCGCGGATGAAGTCGCCCACCTCGGTGGATTGCGACCACCGCACAAAGCGATGTTCCATGGACTTCTTACCGCCGCCGGGCTCGCTGCGTCGCAGGTACGTGTACGTGTCGTCGCCCGAGGGCTGCTTCTCCTCTTTGACCTGTCCGAGTTCCTCCAACTTGCGCACCTCTGCCTCGGTGCCCTCGTAGAGCGCTTTCCGCGGCCGGATCGGGTTGTCCTCGAGTTGGAGCGCGATGAAGGAGACGGACGGGGCCCGGGCTTGCCCGTCCTTCGTCTTGATGGGCGGGATCTCGGCTTGAATGAGGCGTTCCAGGTGCGAAAGCGGTTGCTGAGGGTGGATGAGAAAAGCGATGGGTTCGATGTCTTTTGCACACACGCACAGAGGTCAGTCAGCATGGCGCCCTTCTTTTCATGCACACCGCGAAGGCAGAAGGAGATATTCTGGGACTCACCCTTATGGTCACGGTGGTATTTGGTCGACAACGGGAGAAGCAGCTTGAACAATCGTGACGGCGTAGTCAACAGTTTACCTGTGTACCATTTGTTTAGTTCACCTGTTCACCTGGACACCCAAAGCATGACACGGAGACACATGGTAAAGGTAGAAGAGGTTTCAAAGGCAATTTCCATCATCTGATCTACTAACCCTTTGTCATCGCCTGCCCAAGTTTGTCCTCCCCCTTCTGGGCCTTGGACGAACAGACCCCTTCCTCGTCCTCCTCCGGCTTCGCATCCTTGATCTCTAACCGCTCCAATTCTTGCCTCGGACCCTTGGATTGTGGACGCGCATTGATGCTGCTGAACCACCGGGTTTGCCCCGCCGTCGGAGCACCCCGTGCAACAGTCCTCGTGCTCGTGCTCGTGCTGTAGTTGTAGTGCGCCGGCGGCGCTGCTGCGGTCTGGAACTGTCGCCGCCGCCGCCCTGGGCCCGCTTGTACCATAGAAAGTACTATTGACGGCGCAGCAGGGAAGCCGGACTCGGGGCGACTACTACTCCCCCATTGTTGTAGTCGTTGACGAGAGGGAATGGGCGGAATCCGACCTAGTATTGACCGCATGTTGCGGTGAGGGCTTTTTAAGGGCGGCAATTGACAAGAGGCATATAAGTATTATCGGGGAGAACAATTGGGGAGTGGTAGTGTTTTGGAGAGAGAGGGGGGGGGGGGGGGGGGAGATCCTGGAATTCACACAAAGTCAAGCTTTTCACAAGCAATGGGAAGAAAAAGGGGGTCGGTCCATCGACCGGGATGTGGATGAGGAGTTGATATCATCACTCATGTTATGGTAATGGTCATGGTCATGGCAATGGTAATGCTGTCACTCTTCGGCCATTACGTGGATCGTCAGTTGCGCCTTCCTGCCTTGGACGACAACTGGAGACACCACTTCACCCACTTCCCTGCCCTACGTCATGATGTGTCAGCGGCTGTGGCAGTGATGCTTCTTGCCTCAGGCCACAAGGCTTCTTAGGTTTGTGAGTTGTAACCGTACATCCAATCTGACCGTGGTTTCATATGGCTCTTCGGAAGAGAAAAGGAGACAAATCACCACTGTATGTACTGTACATACATACCTGCACTTCTGCACACCTAACTATAGCAATTGAGCGCATAAGCAATTCGTGAGACATCACATTCAGTCGCAGTCCGACAGTCCGACAATGCACACCGCCACCTCCCAGAAAAGACACCGCTAGCCTCCGCAATGCAACCCTCCAACCTTGAAAACATACACAGTACACACATTCATCCCATCCGGGGTGGTTCCTGTGTGATCCCACCCGCAGACAAGTTCCGTCCAATCCATTCTTCCACAATGAGCATTCATCACATTCATCAGATGGGGGCAACAAGACCCAAACCAAAATCAAACAAAAAAGAGACGCTTCGATCTATCGGATATCCGGGTTCGTGGTCATAAAATCATAAAGTCATCGTCATCAAAAGCCAAGCCGGTCTTCCATCTCATCTTGTGCCCCTGTTTCCCTGACTCAACTCTTGTAAAAGCCAAGGCGCAAGAACAAGCTTATTATTTGGGTACCGGCACGGCCAGTGTGCGCCTATAGACCTTTCCCCTCCCTCGCGCCTCCTCCCTCCCTTCAGAAAGCAACCTACCGACTAAACGCCAACGCTCGAGACGGGCCCATCGCTGATTGCCGGTCGCAATCGATCCGGTCCCCTCCATAGCTCTCCGGGCTGCTGCTGCCGCCGCCACTACTTCGGCTCTCGCCACTGGTCGAGGTGTCCGTGTCGTCCACCTCGTACCGGACTTTGCGTCCGGTGCCAATGGCGACCGGAATGCCCTGGATGACACCGCCGTGGTCGTGCCCGGCAGGGTACATGCCGTCGTTGACGGAGAAGTTGCGGCAAATCAGGTAGGCCCGCATCGCTGCATTTTCCCGAGCCAGGGTGTCCGATTCATAGACGGCGTCCGTCTGGTACTCGCGGTTGTTGACTCGGACAATGCACGTATACCCGGTAGCGCCGCTGTATGATTCGTAGAGAGGTTCCGGCCAGCGGCGCCGTCGGCAGAGACCTGTACACATGGTTATTGGACGTTGAACGGTGTGGGAAACCGATGAGCATAAAGGAAACGGGGAAAGAAAAAACAAAGGTCTCAGGCTGCCACCCCCTCGGACTTCCAGGAGAGTGAGCAAATCATAGCTGTGTGAAGTTGAAACCAAGCCCTCACTAGGTAGCCATGGTCTGCTGGAACCTCTGTCCTTCATGACGTGCATAGCAGTAGTGCTCCAGGAGAGGCAAAACAACGGCCACCACCACAACAGCCATCCATGGGAAGCACAGCGAGGGTCATCCGAAGCGGTGACCGTTTGGATCCAATCATAGAAGGCACAAAGGGACCGAACGAGACCTTGTTCGACGAATTGCAAACAGAGTATCTACATACTTGCGAGATAGAGAATATAGTACATCGCGGAAACCTGTCCAGGTCCAATAGGTCGTATGGTCCAGGCCAGTATTGGTTCAGTATTTGCTGCCCCAGATCGATTGATACTGCACAAGATCCTGGCGGTCACACCGATGGCATCGAGATGACCCTATGTAAACGGTGTCGGTTGGTGCCCAATGACCACGGTCTTCATCGAACGGCCAATGTGACTTGCTATATCTTACAATAGCCAGCAGCGAGGCCCGTCACCAGGTGTGAGAAGATTGGGTCAAGAAAAGCCCAGCGAAAAGAATGAAGAGACCAATTCAAACCAAAGAACGAAAGTCGCAAGGGAAAATAAAACTAGCGGCCAGGAACGAGGCAAACACAGCGTGCCCTACACTTGGGGAAAGCAAGAGGGGGGGAAAAGAAAAGCGAGTCGAGGGGGATATCTTTCATGACCGCCCAGGTATTCGCACAAAGAAAGAGGTGGGGCATCTGGAGCAGCCCTCAAAGCTTTCAATCATTATTATTTATTTCATAGTCCCTCTCAGATAGAGAGACCAGAAAAAGTCGTCGAGAACGGCCAAAATGGATAGAAAGGAGGCAAAACCGAAAAAAAAAGCTTCGAAGAAAAAGGCAAGATTTGGTCCAAAATACCAAAAACCCGGTAAGGTAAATAGAATTAAAATAAAGGAAGTGGCTCGCAACTGGTGCAATTGGACCATTCCCCACCAGGTTGACCGAGGGGAAAAGCAGCAGACGAATGCCATGCCTTTGAGAATTTTCCTAGACCTCACACTAGCTTTGTCCGTTGCGTTGCCGTTCTGCTCGGAGAACAGAATATGGCAAGCGCTGATGTGCTGGCATGACTTTTCACCAGTGGACCAAAGTGAAAAGATTCAGGACGTCCTGGCCCATCGGCCACCGTGTAATTCGCCGCCGATCTAGGCGGCTACGATGGAGATGTTGTTCAAAATTTTGAATGCCCGAGCAAATCGGTCGTCTCGGCCTTCATCTATTCTGCTGCAGAACATGGACTGGTTTCTCTGGGCATACCTTAGAGTGGTCCATTGCTGTAGTAAGCGCAGCTCTTTTCCTCCCCCCCCTTTGTGTTTAGGGTCACGATGTTTTCCTTGGGTTATAGAGCAAGGTTCCTCCCCATAGCATATTCACATCTTTGATTTCGAGTGAGAGCGATGGCCCCTCGAACCCCGCATTGTGAATCCACAATTGTGGCCCGGTCGAGTAAATAATAACGAAGGTAATGGAAGGGCGGGAGAAAGAACCCACGAGAAAGGAGGTGCGGTGGAATCCAGCTAATGCAGAATGATGCTTCAGAACAAGGGGTTCATGTCGCGCAGATGAATCCTGGCAATAGAATGCCCAGAAGGAAGCCGTGATTCCATTGTACATGGAGAGGGGGAAAGAAAGGGGATGGATGGATGATCGCTGGCTGCTGGTGGAGGAAACAACACTGAAGCCCATGATTGGACTGAATGGCGGGCCCTTTTTTTGGGCTCCCCTCCCCTCTTTGCCCGGGTCAATACTAGTAGACGATCACGATTCTTAACGACTCGGTAAACGATCCGAATTCTGTAGCCCGCTTAGTGTAAGTTGACCGCTCTCCCGGAGCCAATCCAGAGTAAACCTGATAGCAGATACGACTGAACCCCGCGGTCCAGGAGTGGGATTAAAACGACAACAACAACAACAACAACATCATCATCATCATCATCATCATCATCATCGAAGGGAGTCAAGGAGCACACCACTTTCGATGTATCAACTGCTGCGTGACTAGATTCCGGATAGGATCTACTCCGTAGATTGGCCACACAGGAAAGCAGCATCGGATTGGTCCAGCCCGCTTTCTCCTCGATTGGAGCCGTTGAGTGACAGGTAGGCATTGCGGATGCACTGATGAGTTGGCAATGACGCTTCGTGCGCCGGGGGAGGGGAGAAGGAATCCATGCCACTTTGACACGAGGGGCAAAGAGAGGGAGGTCAACCTTGCAGAGTAACATGAGCAGATTCCTTCTTATTCAGCGCCACCCCGGAGAAATTGATTCTAACTGACCTTTTGCCCGCCCCCCTCCCCTCCTTCTTGAGCGCCCCCCATCTTTCCCCCCTCCTTTTGATATGACGGATAGGCGGGCTGCAGCAGGTCTGTCTGTGCATGGTGTAAGTCGCCCGCTGGCTGCCCCGGGCATTGCAATTCTGCGATCTGCGAGTAAAGAATGCTTTGCTCCGTCTGAGTTGCATCTTCGAGGGGTGTCTGCTGGCTGTCATTGGAGCCCAAGCTCCTGGGAGTTAGTTGTCTTTGTCTTCTTTTCTCTTCCTTTGGCGCTCAAAATATAAATTAGCCAGGGGGAAGTGGAAAGAGGAAGGCGGCTCTCATCAACGGAGGATGATGAGTAATGGAGGGGTAGACGAGGGGCTGGTCTGGAAAACGCCCAGAAAAGCTAGAATGAACTAGATGGACCGTCTGCACATGGAGAAAAGCAGTGCTGCAGGGCAGCTCAGGTGGTACAGAAAACTGAAGTCGAGTCCTTGTCAAGGTGACCAAAACAGTTCGTGCGACCCCCAATCAATCCTCACTGCCATTTCATTTTCGTCTGTCAGTCCGCGTGGCTGCTCAAGGGCACGTCCTTCTGGATACACCCCATTCCCCCCTCAATTTACCTCAGCGGTCACACAGATCCCTTAATCTTAAGCTGATTCTTACGTGCATGTATAAGGTAGATGTACTGTACTGTACAAGTGAAATCCACTCCAACTATCTGACAGTCACTCGCGCCCCATCTCCCCACTCGATTAACCAAAGATGTTCCCAAAGTCCCAGGCTGGCTAATTCACATTTACTGGTTGCCTTTCACACCACAGGCGCATTCCCTCCGCAGCCGCATGAGGAATCACGTAAAGCGGATGAAGAGCTGCAACCTTGTCGTTCTCGTCAAACACATTCACATCAGCTGAATCGCCGTCAGAAGTGACTGGAGAAGTGTATTGCCATGAGAAAGCTGACGCGAAGTCTTCCTTGCTGGAGACACTGCGAGTTGTATGATAGTGGTAATGCTGTGTAGTGCTTAGACCCGCAAGGGTATAGCAGGTATGATACGAATCTACATGTCTTCACGTCTCTCAGTCAGCAGAGGCGCCATTGACAACACTTTCCGGAGGTAAATCATACTTTCCAGGCTTATCACGAAGACCCCCGAACTTGGCCTGACAACACCCAAGGATATATCGGGTCAAGCCTTCCCGACTGTAGAGGTTGCCCACAGAGCTCTGTTTGGGCCCTGCAGCCGGTTGAGCTCCGTCGAGCGCGGATTGGATCAATGGCCAGCAAGATCCAACCCAGTGGCTGTAGCATCCGTCAACCAGCTTATTGGTTCTCCCCGAAAAGCCGCCTTCAGGGGCATACTGTCGAGCAGAGAGCCAGGACAGGAGAAGAGGGACATCCATGCACCTGCCACCATTAGCCGCACTCAGAGTGAAGAGGAGCGAAAAGCAAACGCTACTCACCTCGCCACGGTCACTTCAGGCTGGCCCAGGATGCACAGACAGGCCAAAGCACAGAATGCATAGGCGCCATGTGCCTCCGACCCGGGACTTCCGGAAATCCCACCTTCGAATGTTTGACCTAGAGTTCGGGATTAGCCTAGCGCAGTCAGTTCAAGGAAGAAAGCACTGACATCGAGAGAGGTATGCGGAGAGGCAACTATCGAACGTCTCCAGACCATGTTGTCTGGCTTCGGCTTCCGGGGGTAGAATAAGTGGCAAATCTAGTAGTGATATGATGACCATCGCGCAGTAAGCGCCGCTGAGTTGGCAGTCAGTACGGCATGGCATGTACGCAAAATAAGGGATCTAGGTCCGGAAGGGGGAGGGGGGGCTTTTACCGCACATCTTCTTCCCCACCTTCGCAGACTCTAAAGCCCCCATCGGGCTGCTTCAGTCTCCCAAGCCATCTCCACCTGAGTCGAGGTCAGCAGCATACACCAGTGGCCAAGTAGAGTGGACGAGCTCGACAACGCACATCTTCTCCCTATCGATCAAGTTGTATGCCTCTTCGCCTCCGATCATCGCAAGGGAAAGCACAGCAGCATAGCTCGAAGCGCAGTGGGACAATTGACCATGGCCACCTCCAAAGCCCCCCGTCGGGTTTTGCATGGGTATGAATGATTTGACAACACTGAAGCAAGAACGATGAGTCTCAGTAGGCGCTCGATTTATTGGGCACCGGATCTGCCCCGGACTCGGCCAAGGTCCATCCGGCATCTGCAACAAAGCACACGGGCCCAAAACAGGACTGGAGATAAGGGGCACAGGTTTTCTACTCACCGTTCGCGGACTCTACTGATATCCTCACCTAGAAGGCTCAAAGCTGCCAGGGCCCAGTAGACCAGCCAGGGCCGACTGGCATCCATGGCAACGAACCCCTCTGGGTAGTCCTCTAGGGAGTCGAACAAATAGGCTACATGCTCATCCCTCGTGAGGGCGGGCACGCCAAACCGGTTGAAAGGGCCATTCTGGGTGCTGTGAATGCCCTTCAAGAAAGGTAGACATTTGTTGACCGTCTCCGCTTGGACCTCGGAAGTTTCCGTCACCAAAGCATCTAGGAGCAGAGGCGGCGTGGTGAAGAGAACCGGCACACCGGGTTGCACTTGTGGTTCGCACATTTCGTCGTTGGGTCTCGGCGATGACTGATGGTCAGTAGAAGTCGTTGTAGACGCAGCAGATGAACGACCACTTGATGAGACCTTAGGCCGGATGGGGTGGTTTTGCGTGTTTCCTGGCTTCGGTGCTTGGTTGGCGGTAGTAAAACGAACTTTGCGCCGCTGTCTCCCTGAAGCCGCGATCACGATCGGCATGGGAAGCTAGCTTGACCAGGCCGGTTTGGGGACTTATATCTCTAAGTTTCTAATTCTTTGTTTCAAGTAGTAAAAGGGTAATTGATCCAGCTCCTGATAGCTTTTGAATTGTTCTTTTCCCTTGCCAATGGATGAGCTCTGTTATCGCCATTCAGGAAAACCATTGTTCTTTTCTGGTCAGGTGGTGGTGGGGTTGCCATGGCTGGCGGGATTGACCCCTCAGGCCCCAGTTTGGGTCAAGTTGCGGAAACAAGCCAAGTGCGCAGTTCAGCCCATCTTGCTCTTTACATCTTCTTTGTTGGATTCGTTTCCTTCTTGCCTCCCTTCTGGCGTAGATTACTTGGAGTCATCGGTTTTCTTTCATTCGATCGAGCTCAGGGCTGGGCAGAGATAGTATCATAATATCACTGTCGAGACCACTGAGTCACTGACTCAACTGACACGTTCCGCTCACCCCTATCTTTTCGTTCCATGTCTTCCAGCCATCGCGGATGTGGAATGGATCTTCGTTTCGGTTGACCGAGAGAGGCTAGCGAGCATTCCGGCCTGATTCTTAATCCTACATGTAGCTAACTTACTACTTCGAATTGATCCCCTGCCGGCAAATAACTTACTCGAGTACAATACGAAGACCATCCATCATATCTTAACCAATCTGATGGAGGCTCACAGTTACAGCCGCGATTGGGCCCATCTCTCATGCTTGAAAGTGCTTGAAAGTCATCTGGCTGGCAGGTATACTGGAACCAACCGATCAAGAGCATTCGATTCGGTCGTCTGCTTGGGGATTGACTCGGATAGGATTTAAAGTTAATCGATCGCTGCTGTCTCGACTTCTGCCGATAACTACTAACCACTGACTACGGAGTACTAATTCCCCAAGGCCCTCAAGCACTGACCATCTGACTAGGAAATCCATCGTCATTCTTCTTCTGGATCTAGCCTAACAGCACCAAGTCCGAGCTAAGGTTGTGTGGATGTGCTAATTATAAAACTCAATGGGTTGCCTTTTTAAGCGCCCATCGCCGGCAATCGGCGGCGCATCGCTAGAAAATTCGCTGGCTGCCGAAAGCGACACCGCGTTGGAGACGTTCTTGCGTGAAGCCGGGCTGGCGTGGCAAAGCTGCGAGTCAAAAATTCAATGAGACTGATTGTTTCATAGCCGGCACATCGATTTGTCGAGCGTCCCCTTCCCCCCCCTCGGGAGTGGAGCCCACGGGCCTTGTCTTTCCTTCATACCCGCCTATATGCAGAGCGTTTCCTTACGCCTGGCTCGGTACCACCTGCTGTAGGGAGAGACTCTGTAGGTCGAGTTCTAGTGAAATATACATACATGACTAGTCCCAGGGCTTCGGCCAAGACCGTTTTGACTTTTGCGCACACGGTCCCGTGAATGCTGCTGGCGTTGACAGTGCCCTGCCCTGGTCTTACAAGTTTTTTGTTGAGAATCAATTTTGGATAGGTCATTCTGGCGCTTCGAATCGACGCCGAAATGAGTTATTACATGTGCTGGCGGCTATGGAATTCTCTTCCTTGATTTCTTGTGCTAGAATGGGCCGAAGGCAGCCAGAGAGCGATGGAGAAATACGTACCCAGCGTGAAGCGTCGAGCAACATCCTGACAGCACAGAGATGTACATTACAGTAACAGTAGGCAGATCGTACCAACGCAGCGCGAGATCGCATATGCCTAACGGTTGTGCACAACAGTTATCATATGTTAAAGCTTCCGGAGGGGTTTGATGGGGAGGCAGTAGGAGGAGACCGTGACTGCCATAGTCATTATTCTTATCATTGTGATTATTACGGGCTTCATCATGATCTTTCATTATCCTGATCAAGGGACCGATGCAGAGAAGACTTCTTTTTCTGTTCCGTGCTCTCGAAATCCCTAGCCGCTAATGGGAGTTGAAATGCTATCAGATGGTCGTGTTGATTGGAGCTCATGTACAGTCAGCCACCTTGTTGGCAACGGAGCCAACATGTGTGCACCATTGATTGACCAGGTCCGCTGGGTATCATTGGATGATGGCCATGATCTACCTAGCTCCGGGACTAGGTGAGGACTAATGTACTATGACCAGGTCCTGGGAAAGTGCTGAGTATTGATATGCCCATTCAGGCAGTAGGCAGTGTTTTCAATTCAGTAAGTATTTAGCTGATTCCAGTCATAGATTGTGTTGCGCTGCAGGGCCTACTACAACTTTCACGGACCTTTTCATGTCCTTTTCATGAAACCACCTGCTATGGAATCATCGATGGAAACTACATAATACAGTACATACATACAGCACATACATACATCCGGCGAGGTGGCTGAGTTTGAACAGGCGGCGCGGAGTGCGCCTGTGCCCTGTCTTCTGGTCTAGTACGGTAGGTAAGTGGCTGCGGGGCCAATTCCGAACAACGGCCCATCTGAGTACTAACTATTGCCACGACCGACCGAGCAAGATCGGAGCTGCTGCCCCATCATGCCAATAATCGTGTTGCCTTAGTCAATAGAGGCCCCTCCCAACCGATCTGGCCGGTTTCCACTGATCTTCCTGTCCCGAATGTTGCTCCCGTGTCTCGCCTACGGAAAATTCCGTCTCGTACCGTGGTCATTAGTTTTGAGCCTCCAGAATTCTAGTCATCCATCCATCATTGTTGATAAATTTCCACTTGAAGATAAAGGTTGTATAGGTAGTGATAGTAGCAGCAGTAGTAGTATTGGTGCTGGGTACCGCTACCGTACCTAGATGAATGGATATCAAGCCCTTTTTCTACCTATTAGTGCGACCCTGAACGCAACCAATTGTCAGGTGGGCAAATCAAGTAACTGTGATTTTCGTCGGAAGTGGTGCGCCAACGAGATACAAATGCAGCCGGTGCATGTCTGTGTTCGACTAGTACTGCCCTTTCCCCCATCAATCAGACTAGCGTCTTGTGCTTTTCCATGCCTACCGGCAATGCTTTTGCAAGATCGTCTAAGGTTTCGCTTGCCCAGAGGCGATTGGGAAGGATAATCATGAGACTCGTCAATCGAGCGAATCTACGGTGATGCCGAACCGGATCAAACTGAATTTTTCTTTCTTGCTTTTGTTGAACGGAGAGGGTCTACTCTGTACCCAGTCAGTCTTGAAAAAAAGCGAAAAGCCGACTACTGTATGTAAGTAACGAGAAAGTATGTAAGTGTAGAGAGTGGGTAGGGGGGGGGACTAGGCCTTTCAGGGTCATCGTAGCCGGCGTGAGCAATAATGAGCACGCCAATTGAGACGACGGGAGATGGGTCATGGTGTCAAACATCGTCATCATCTTCTGACATATTCCATTCTAGAGAAAGTGATAATTTAGATGGTAAAGAGGGAGAAAGAAAAGAAACAAAAATAAGGGAAATTATAAAAAGGCAAGTGCGAAAAAGAAATGTATGCGCAAAAACAAAAATTAAGAAAAAAAGGTATGGATTTGTCGAAGCAAGCAGAAGAGGGACGTGGTAATTACTCCGACTAAACCGGGTTGGGGATGAAGCCTCCTTCCCAGGACTCCCTAGCGTATTCTCCGGCCGATGCAACTTCTTGCAACTCTTCGCAACTCTTCGCAACACTTTGTAACTCTTGCAACTCCCGCCTCACCGCTGCTTTGAGTCCCCTCTCTTTTGCTGGGGACGTGTGTCTGTGTGTGTGCTTCACTTGCTGTTTAGTGCTGCTTAGTTCCACTTCCCACTGCTTTTCCCTTTCAATCACCACCACACCACGGCTTTCCATCCCATCCCATCCCCACCTGTTTAGTCCCTTCTGAGTAGCCTGGTAAAATTGACTAGACTACTATCAGTAATTCTCTAATTTCTCAAAAAGCCATGGCCTCATGCTATCCGCCCGCCCGCCTTCGCCTTTTTTTACTCTGGCTCATTTGATTGTCTTTTGCATCCCCCGGATTCTGATTCTGGGCTTTTCTCTTCCTCAGGCTCATCTCGCCCAGCTGCTGCTTGCTGCTGCTGCTGCTGCTGCTGTTCCATCCCATCATCCACTTCCTTTTCTTTCTTCTCTTTCTTATTTGTTTTTTGTACCACCCACAACTGTTTGTGTGTGTCTTCCTCTCTGTGTGTGTGTGCGTGCGTGTGTGTGTGTGTCTCCTCTTGTGTCTCTATCTTAACTACTATCTGTGTGTCTTGCTTTCTCCATTCATCCATTCATCCATTCATCCCCTCTTCCCCCCTCCGTCTATCGCTCGGTTTCTCCTGTCACCTCGTTCTCCTCTTCTTCACGTTTCCTTTCACTTATCCTCTTGCTTGTTCCGGGTTTCCTTACTCTTTCTTTCCTTTGCTTCTTGGGATAAAAGTCTCCCTCTTAACGAAATCTGTTTGATGCCCTCCTTTCCTTTATTCCCTCTCTATCTTGGTAAATAGTCTCAGCTGTCACGATGTCCAACGTCGATTTATCCAGTGACGGCTTCATTGGCCTAGACTACGACTCTAGGAACTATCTCCAGGCGACGCCATGGCCCGTGGCAGTGGATCACCAGCCCTCCCAGAGACCCGATGGATCGCGAGATATCTCGCCCTTACAAACCAGCGGTCACGCCTATGATCAGTCGGTAGTCCCAGACCCTAACTTGATCGTCGACTGGCAATTCCACGGGCAGCACTTGCAACCCCACCTTCAGTACACTCAAGAGGAAGCGTCGTCCGCCCCTCAGTACGCTACCGCCAGCTATGGCATGCCCCTCCACTCTTCGCCCGTGGATCTGATGCCCCCAACCCATGACCATATGAGCACGAGCCTGTTGGATGGGCCCTACTTGTCGCTGTCCGCACCAGTGGAGATGGTGCCATTTCCCTATCAAGACTTCCAGGCCGACCTCATAGGTTTCACGGCCCCCCATGGTCTTCCGGATATGACCTCCTATGCGGCGCCGCACAATCTGCTTGAGAGCAGCTCACCGACCGACACCTATCTAGAGGTCCGGTCTCTGACCAGTTCGAGCAGCGACAACGGTTGGAACACCATCGAGACCCGGCGCCCTCACGAGTTCACCTATCCAGATCAATTCTTCATCAATCCTACGCAGACGCTACACGACAGAAGCTTGTCAGAATCTTCCTACTCAACGTCTTACGGCAGTTTTGTTGAGATCACCAATCCCATCAACTCTCCTGGCTCTGACACCAACTTCGATGCGGCTTTCAACAACAGCCTGACCCGGCGTGTGTCCTACGACCACACTTCGCACGGTTCAGTCTCGCCCACGGCAGTCAGCCCTGTGAACATCGTACGGCCCGTTCCGGTGCCTTCGAAGAAGCCGACCTCTCCTCGATCGGCCGCCTCGCAGTCATCTTCTGCTTCACCCCCGAGCAGAAAGCCTTCTCGCAAGAGCCCGATTGCTGCGAAGACCGCCGAGACCAAGGTCCGGAAGCAAACGCAGAATGGAAAGCCGGAGACCACCGAGAAGCGAATCGGCAAGCGCAAGGGTCCGCTCAAGCCCGACCAGCGGAAGCAGGCCAGCGAAATACGGAAGCTGAGAGCTTGCCTGCGTTGCAAGTTCCTCAAGAAGACTGTAAGGGCTCAATGCAAACTCAACGAGTATGGTTTGTGCTTGCTGACTTGTTTACTACCAGTGTGACAAAGGTGAACCTTGCGCCGGTTGTCAACCGTCGCATGCTCGTCTGTGGCAGGTTCCGTGCACCCGCATTGACATCAAGGAGATCGGGTACTTCATGAAGGACTGGAAAGCAGACTATGAGCGCCACATCTCCCTTGGATTCTCGGTGGGGAACATCAAGGGTTTCTCGGAACACGAGACAACCCTCTTCATCACTCACGGTTATGGTCAGATTCTCCCGATCAACGCTCGTGAGGTGTATGTGCGTGACGAGCAATGCTTCAGCGTTGACTGGGTCGAGAGCATGCACCGAGAGCCGACTCAGTTCGAGGTTGAAACTGCCAAATTGTCTGCTGGAATGGAGGGTATCTCCCACGCTATGCTTTCCGAATATCTCGATCGCCACATCGATGGTAACGGCACCTTTGAGAAGTTTGTCGACGACTACTTCGAGGGCACGCCTTTCTTGACACAGATGCTGAAGACCGCTTTCCGCTACTATTACCGCACGAAGCTGCCGGTCATTCGCAAGGCCTTGAAACTCATCATTGCCTACAACCTAACGCTCCACGTGACTATGGTTGAAGGTCTGGGCGAGGAGCAATGCATGCCTGGAAAGATCGATTCATCAACATCTAGGTTCAAGGGCAAGACGATGGCCCCAGTCATGATCAATTTCCAAATCAAGTGTGCCATGGCAAACATGTGGCGCGAGTTGCAGAAGGATGTGTTGGAGGAGCTATCAAGCCTCTACTCGAGCGTCTACAGCGGCGACAAATTGAAGAACTGGCCCACCATCTTCATCCTGGCCTCAATCCTTCTCGCAGTCTGGGAGGAAATGCAATTTGACTGCCACTACCGTACTCCAGTGAGTAGTTTTGAACTTGAATGTGATGGAACCATAAGTTAACCCCCCGCTTAGGAACCTGCTGCAGTGGAGAAATTCTGCAACGATATGGAGACCACCCCTGTTGGCGTCATTGTTGGCCTATTCCAGGCGATCTCACAGAAGCTTCCCGCCTTTACGGACTGGGAGACCACGAAACACCACCACCTGCTGCACTCGAACCCTGACGTGTGTACGACGATGACTGAGGTCCGCCAGCACGTGACTCAGTTTGGTATGTCCTTCTTGCGCTCGTTCGTCTGGCTGGTTGACTAACGTCCAACAACAGAGAGCTATCTTCGTGGCCGGTCCAGTACCAAGTTCAACCGCAACGACTTCGATTGTTTGTCGAACAAATTTGTTTCAAGACTTGTGATTCGTGCGAATTAGATGACGTGTTACGGCTCTGAAAATGACGGAAGACACCATACGAAACGATGATATATGCCGGCATTGATGATTATGAAACTCACAGCACAGCAATTAGCGATCGCATCGCTCTGTTCGTTCGTACTTTCCCGCCGTTGTCATCATGATGCTTTTTTCCTTCTTTGTTGTTTGTGTTTCCCCCACCAGGGGAGACGACCTGAAGCATTTGCCCTTGCTTTTATCCCATCCTTTCCTTCTCAGTGGTATACCTTTCTCGCACAATTTTTGCAATAGCGATGATGAGGATCACGAATGTCATGATATTGTACGGTCACGAAACTGTTTAGCAGCGGATGACGGATACAGCTACGTTGCGACTGATGCAGGAGGCTAGTTCTCCCATTACGCGCTGCAGGTTGCATCTGGAGTCCTTTATTAGCGAGTATGTTTGAGTGTCTGTTATAGGAAGAATTTGTTTTTATTTTTATTTCTTCAGTTTTTGGTTATGATCGGAATATGGAGAGCAGCTGGAAGGCGGTTCGCAAAGACCCATCCATGCCTGAAGGGAAAACGTGCAAGCATGCTCATTTTTTATTCATGTCACCAGTTTATAAAAAAAATGCACTTTATATGAGGTCATGCTGCCAGGAGAATTTGGTACGGGGTTGGATGTAGAGAACATGCTTGTAGCATCTGCATGCGTCAAGCGTTACGCTTGTCTGGTAGTTTTGTAGACTGATTGAGATCCAAGGGTTCCATCAGTCTGGATTGGAAAATCCGGGGGAGGGTGATTACCTAACCCGACCTCGGCTCAACGCTCCCAACAGATCAACAGATCTATTGTTAAATCTTTCTTTCTGGCAGTCTACAGTAGAACCTAAAGGGGTGTCATCGCAGATCTCCAGTCAGCCCTCTGTTCAACGTCAGCAGACAGCACCCTGGAGCCCACCGGTCTACTTACTCCGGCCGTCCGATTCCCAACCTGAGCGTTGACGTCTCTGGAATTGAATGTCAGTTCCTCATTCCGTTCCAATTACACATCTCACTCCAAACACAAACCGCTTCCTCCCCGTACAGCTCCTTCTAACATAGCTTCTCACCAGCATCAGAACACCATCACAACCACCAATTCACCTTCAAAAAAAGGAGTCAAAAAAGGATGTCAACCAGCACGACCACCAAGCCCCCAACCAGGGCGGCCACAACCTCTCGACCATCCCCACTCACCAAACCCTACCTCATCCTCTACAACGCCCTCAACTTCACCCTGTGGGCCACCTGCACCGTCCAGGGCCTCATCCTCCTCGCGACGGGCACGCCACCGCCCCTCATCTTCCACAAAGTCTACCCGCTCCTGCAGGCCACGCAATCGCTCGCCCTGCTCGAGATCCTCCACAGCCTGGCGGGCCTCGTGCGCGCGCCCGTCACCACCACCGCGATGCAGGTCGCCAGCCGCATCCTCCTGGTCTGGGGGATCATGTACCCCTTCCAGGGCGGGATTGTCGGGGCTTCTGCGACTGCCACTGCCACCGCCACCGTTGCGGGCGCGCAGACCGGCGACTACGCGTTCCTGGGCTGCCTCAGCGCCTGGGGCATCACCGAGTGCATTCGGTATGGGTTCTTCGTGTGCCAGGTCTCCGGGCTCGGGGTGCCGGCGTGGTGGGCGTGGCTGCGCTACAACACCTTCTACGTGCTGTATCCGTTGGGCATTAGCAGCGAGTGTGTGATGGTGGTGCAGGCGTTGAGGCCCGCGGCCGCGGTGAGCCCCGTGTATTGGTGGTTTTTGGTGGTCGTGCTGGGGGTTTATGTGCCTGGTATGTTTTTTTGCCCCCTTGTCTTTGGACTTCCCGGGGGGAGGAATGGGTGATGCTAATTATGGATTTGCGGTAACCATACAGGCTCGTATATTCTCTACACGCATATGATTGCTCAGAGACGCAAGGCTTTGAAGAAGAAATGATGGGTCCGCGGGCGTGCTGTGCTGGGCGCTGGGTTTGGGTGGGCCATTTGGGGGGGCGAGCGAGCGACGTGACCGAGATTTGCCGGAGAGGATTCCGCACGGAGGACGGAGTACGGAGTTCAAGGTTGGAGACACTGCATGTATCACGCAGTATCACGATAATAAGGCTACGCCGCGCTGCGCTGCGCTGTACTGTTGTGCAACAGTAGCGGTACCTACGGTGTGTGTGTGGCGTTGACTGTTATGGGATGTGTACGTTAAGGTTTCATGAATAGATATCATATGTACAGTACTGTATATGTAGGAAACTTTGACCATATCCTCTCATGCCATGCCATATCATATCGTATATACGGAGTATGGTGTATGTGCTATAAGTCCTTCATGATATCGCGCACCGCTTTGGCAGCGAATCGCTTCCGTTCCGTTTTGGGTAACCCGTCGCTCATATCTGATTATCCGGTTAGCCAGGAATGGCTCAGAAAGTTATTGAAGAATTAGGTACGTACCTTTGATCGCTCGCATGCGCAGCAGCAGCGCCTCCACCGCATCCACCCGCAGCTCCTCGTCCGCCTCATCCTCTTCGACGAAGTAATCGTCGCTGCCGCGCTCGATCGCCATGCGCAGACCGACCATCTCGCGCTCCAACTCATTCACCTCGGAATCGAACCCGGCCGCCCCGTCGTCCTCGTCGTCCAGCCCGAGTAGCTGTCTCTCCAGGTCGTCCTGGTCGTCGTCGCCGTCATTACCGAGTCTCATCGCCAACCCCTCGGTCTCCTCCTCCGCGGCACTCCAGTCATGCGTTTCCAACACCTCCTTAACCCGACGCATGCCTTGCAGTTCTAAACAAGACAGAAAACAAGTCAGCCCTGAGTGAAAAATCCCAAGCCCCGCAGAGTACTCCGTAGACGAGACGGGAAAAGAAGGAAACCACAAACCTCCATATCGATTCCTCCCCGCATCCTCATCCTCCTCCCCACTCCCCCTGGGGCACCACCGCACAACCTCCCACCCCATCAACCCCATCTCACACAATTGATCCTCCCACCACCCCACGGAGAACGGCTCATCGATCTCAACACCAAGATGATCATCCAAATCAACTTCGAGTCCATTCATCTCACCACCACCACCATTACCCCTCATCTTCCCCTTCGCAGCGCCAGCGCCAGCAGGAGATGACGATGATGAAGCATCCACCAAAACCAACAACCCGGGCACCTCCCCAACACCCATGCCCCCCCTCTCCTCCTCAATCAAACCCCGCACCTCCCCAATCGCGTGGATGAACTCCTTCAATCCGCGTACATCCGCCCGATCTTCTGCCGCTTCTGGTTCCGAGGTGGTGGGGATCGTAGTAGTCCCCGGGGTTGATGCCGGACTCGGCAGAAATGATGAAGGGTCATGGTGATGGTCCACCGGATTGCGGACGCAGATCATCACTGCGCCGATGGCGTCGCGGACGACTTGGGCGTCGGGGCCGGAGAATTCCGTCTTCCATTGCGCGGGGGAGGGGGTTGTGGATGGTGATGGTGGCGATGGGACTGCTGCTGCTGGCGTTGAGAGGGGGATCTCGTCAACCCAGATGGGGATGTCGGCTGTGTAGTAGCGGTTCTGGATGGGGAGAGGCGGGTGGGTGGTGTAGCCGGCGAAATTGGTGGTCGTCGTGGGCGGGGCGGGTGTTGACGAGGTTGCGGTGACGGTTGAGGCGGCGGAGGAGGCGACGAGGGTTGTGGTTGAAGAGAGGGCTGTTGTAGACGTGGATGGTGGCTCGGTGACCGGTGCGCCGGTGAGAGTGTGGAGGAGAGGGGGGATGATGGTCGTGGAATGCGAGCTGGGCGACAGGATGAGAAGCCGGCGCGGATTGCGGATGATGTTTCTCGTGGCGGTGGAGGGGTTGCCGGGGTCCATGTTGAGGTTGGAGGTGGTGTTCTTGGTTGGGGTTGGTGAGCTTCGTTCGCTGCAGATTGTGGAGGAGAGAGACCCCGAGAGTAAAAGTTGGTGATGCTTAAAGTTGCCGCTGGTGCGGGTGCGGGGAGGCAGGCCGAGGAGAACAAAAGACAGCCAGCGCGCGGAAGTTCAGTCGCCTTCCTTCGTATTCCCTCTCTGCACTTGCGTTTCGTATTTCCATGGACCACAATAATGTCGTTTACGAGCGTTTCTGGCAGCGCTGCAATCGATTGGCGCTGCTCATCCCCACTCCAAAGTACTCGTACGTAGCTTTGTGTCGAACCCACGCGCGGACGGTGGCTCCCAAAAACCAATCCCTCTGCCCTCTCCCCTACAGGACGTATACGATAATTCCGACAGATTTTTAGTACCGGGTATCCATTTCCTCCAGAACAAGGGCCAATCGTCATTCGATTTCGTGTAGTATATTCGATTCAATGGAAAATCAACCCCCCGACCGACCGACCCAGATCCAAGAGTTGCGGAGTCCATAGCAGAAAGAAAAGAAACAAACGCCGACCAACGTCAATGATTATCCACCTCCCATCCCCATCATCATCAATCAAACAAATCCCCTTAGCCTCGTCGCTGGCCCCGAGCTCTCTGCACAGTGGCCTTACCACGAGCCAGACCGACACCGCGGCCGCGCTGGCCTCGTGAGCGGAACATGGGGGCGTTTCTAGAACATTCAATTCAGTTAATGCTCCGAGAGAGAGATTCAGGAAAGAAACCAACCTCAGCATGTCCGGAACAATGAAGAACTTGACATGGCTTCCCCGGATGTAGACCTGATCCAAGTGTGACACGCGACCGTCGCGGGCGGTAACCGTGATATCCTTCAGTTGCACGTTCATGTTATCCTCGGCTATATTAGAGGTAAGAAAGTCAGCGACGATGTCTTTCAGGTTTGTTGGTTCGTGAGAGGGAGGAAGATCGAGGGGAGTCACGAGGATGGGACGCACCCTCCAGAAGTTTTCCGCGGTACACGACACCGGACGTGATTTCGAGAGTGACAACGTGGCCCTAGATGTGATTTAGCTCAGGCACTTTGCTGAATCCATGCATCGCAGCTGATGAAGGACAGAACCACCCACCTGCGCCTCGTTCAGGAGCTTGATCGGGATACCGATCGTGCTGGTCAACTTGCCCATTGTGATGTCTGGTTGGAGAGAAGAGAAGCAGGAGGCGGGGAGGAAAGAGCACTAAACGATCACCCGGGAGGGAGTCTGTCTGTCGGATAGAGGTCGAAGGTAGAGATTGGGTGCGGTTGGTCCTGCGACGATGGAGGGGAGGTGGTTGGTTAGTTGCAAAGGACAAAACCGGCGATGTTTGACTGGGAGAGCATCGAGTAAGCAACCACACCCGCTCGACTCGGCGGGCGGAGAGTTTTGCGGCTCTGCGGGCGGACGGCCAGCCAGTAATTTTATCCATCTGCGCATTTACACCGTACTCGTCGGTAGAACTGCACATGAATTGACTTGATACCAACTATCGCAACCTAATAACTAATCCCAGACAATCATCACAAACCAGCTACCGCACCAACACTCTCAATACGCAAAAGAACCTATACCCAACAACCAACACCCACCCATCCAACCCTCCCTCCGAAATTGGTTCCTTCGCAAAAAAAAAAAAAAAGAAAGAGCTTCACAGCTAAGCTCCACAGCTAGCAGCTAGCAAAAGCACCACCACCATCACCACCCCCAATCCCCCCCCAAAAACCCCAGACTCACAAAAATGAACCCCCCAAACACCAACCTCCGCGCCTTCAACCTAGCCGTGACGACCCTCCTCAAAAACCCCTCGCACATGCTCCCGCACCTGACCATCCCAACCATCACCCAGCTCCCCGAACAACTCGGCCCCGCCATCTCCGCCTCCCTAGCCACGAGCACCAGCACGAGCACCAGCACGAGCACGCCCCTCGAAAAACCGCCCCCCCAAATCCAAATCCGCGCCCTCATCCTCGACAAAGACAACACCCTCTGCCCGGCGCGCACGACGACCTTCCCCCCGGACATCCTGGCCAAGCTGACGGCGCTGCGCACCTCGCCGACCTCGCCCTTCAACCAGACGACGGCGCCGGACTCGATCCTGATCGTCTCGAACCGCGCGGGGAGCCACCCGCGCTACGACGACGAGGTCCGGCGCCTGGAGGCGCAGCTGGCCGACCTCGCCATCCCCGTGTTCCGGCTGCCGCCCGGGGGCGCGGTGGCCAAGAAGCCGTTCTGCGGCGCGGAGGTGCTGGCCTGGTTCCGGGAGCGCGGGGTCGTGGTGCGCGCGGATGAGGTCGCGGTCGTGGGCGATCGGCTGGGGACGGATGTGCTGATGGCGCGGGAAATGGGGGCGTGGAGTGTGTGGTGTCGCGATGGGATCGATGCAGGGGGACAGCGGGAGGGGGCGAATGTGTTGGAGCGCATGGAGATGTGGGTGGAGCGGTATCTTCGGGTCAATCGCGGGTTGAAGGCGCCCGTGCCCAAGGGGTTTGCTCAATGATTTCTTGGGAAAGGGATCCTGGAATGGGAGACTGGATTTTGTGTGCTGTACTATATTTGAGATAGATGAGTTTGCTGCGTTCACTAGGTGTAAACTTGGATACGGTGGAGTTCGATACCCAGCACAATAGCCTTTGGATTGAAACAAATCAATTTACATAACCTCTACATGGAAGATTGAGTTATCATGATCAGGTGGTCCCTGAGGAATGGTCTTCAATATCACTCGAACTCTAAATACCCCGGCGAAGATTGTCTCAGCCTCGCGTTGGAAGAGAGATGGTAGATAATAATCGGACAGGATCACCTCACTCAAGGCACCAAATAACCGTCACAAAAGGAATATGCAAACATGTCCTAACCCGCCAATCCAAGAAACAAATAGAAGATAAACCAACTGTCGCCGTCTTAGTCCGACTTTCTGGCATAACCACGTTAAACACCCCTGACCGGAGGTGAGAAGAAAAGAGAATAAAATGAAACATAATGGTCAGGGGCAGTGAAGAAGAATCAAAAAAGCGCATCCAAGTGCGATCGAGAAGGAAAGAAAAGGCGCTGTGTAACGCTCAGGACCAGCCCCACAGAAGAATAAAAATACAGCAAAAGACACGCTGAGGACACAATGTAAAAAATATTGAATCCGTCTCATCGAACTTGTTCGACTTCAGGTCTCAGAAAGAAGTTTGAAAGGCATTCGTTTACCCTGCTGAAGGGGTCAATCGAGGTGTGTTGAGGTATGAGTGACAGCATCCGGGTAGGGCTGAACCAGACTCATGGATTCGAATGTCAACCAGAAGAAGACGGCAAAGGATAAGCCCAAGCGCCAAAGTTTGTTTACCAGAATCGTACAGCCGGACTCAAGAGCCGGGCGCCATTGTGTTAGGATCCACACTCTCGAGTGTCAGACTCTGGAATTCCCCCTGGACACCGGGGGAGGTGTGTCCAGACATCGAGTGCATGGGCAGATCAAAAGCGCTGCTTTCAAGCCCTATGGATTGAGGAACACCAAATGTCATGTTGTGCTTGGCATACATTCCATTCATCCCCATGCCCTCATCCGAGTAACTTGTTTGGTGCTCATTACCCAGACCATACATATCTTGCGATGTGTGTGAGATGTTGGAGAGGGGTGGCGAATGGTTGGCAATCATAGGGTCGGCATGACCAAGACTAGGATAGGACGCCGTCTGATGTGCCACTGTTGAGTCAACAGCGGGCGTGACAAATGGTAAGGTGAATTGAGTTCCTATGTTGGTAGCAACGGGGGTGGAATCACCACCTGCACCGGTACTGAAAAGTCCCGGGCTGGCGAAATCAGACGGAGAGGCGGTAGTTGTAGCTGACATGGGGTGGGTTCGTGGATCAAACCCGTAGGCGGCAGATGTATCAATACGCAGATTCAGGGCCAGCGGATGAGTCGATTGTGGAATAGGGGCAAAGATCCCTGTGTCTGGCTGGCCAAAATGCGCAGGGGCTTGAGAGAAGTTGTACTGGGCAAGCGGCGGCTGCATTGCAGAGAAGTCGACGGCTACCGGAACCGAACGACTCCGTTGCCGCTTGTGACCACGGACCGCCTGAACGCTCAGGTGGGTGGGGGTCTCGGGAAACACATTCAGGTAAGCTTGCGCGAATTGGTTGGGTTGGGAGGCAGGACGTTGAATGAAGGGGGGCGACATGGGAGGATTCATAGCAAAGTTATTGTATGCCAGGCGATTTTGGAATGACTCCAGGGAAACGAGTTTGGCGAGCTGGACGCTAAGAACCTTCGGGTGGCCTCCGAGATGGTGAACCAGAATTTGGCTTGCTTGCTGGTCTTCTGTGAAGTCACCGCACTGATAAAAGCCACCAGAATTGGATGAATCCATGTAAAACAGTGGAGGTCGATTAAGTTCCACCACTAGACCGCCAGTCCGCGAAGGGGCGCCATTTGGTCCGGGGGTCTGGTCACCAGACTCCAAGGTGATGTTCTTGATGTAGGCAAAGGGGTATTCGATCTTGTATCCGGCAGAGTCGTTGTTGATATAGTAAGTCATGCATGCTTTCTCCGGGGAATAGAATACAACGAGGTCCATTGCGTTTTGTCCAATGCGGCGCCAGCTGCCGATAGTTAAGGAACGGCATGTGAAGTGATGAATAACTATTGCCAGTCAGTCTTGATGTCACAACTGCACCAGTGCTCGACAAACGTACCAACTTTGCCAGAGGGGGTCGGCTCATTAGGGTAGGCCCCATTGGTTCCGTAGCCTCCTGTCCGGCCAAAAGGGTCTCTTGCACCAGGCTTGCTTGGATCGAATTGCATTGCTAGATATTGGCGCATTGATTCGGGGATTGAATCGCATCCTTCGCCGGTTTCGATGCTCTTCTTCGCAAGCATCTTGATCTTAGCGCGTCTGCATCGGCGCGGTCAGTATTTCACTTCAGATGTGCGCGAAGAAACCACAAACCTGTTTTGAAACCAGATCTGAACGGACCGCTCGGTCATGTTGATATCTTGGGCGATTCTTTCACGAGTGGCAGCGGTAGGGGTAGGGTTTTTGTTGAACTCGACTTCGAGTGTGACCAATTGGTCCTGGGTCGCGCGCTGGCGTTTGTTGTTCTTCTGTTGCTGCGTTAAGGTACTCTTCCTTTGAGGACGGCGTGCGGCGGGAGCAGTCGTGGTAGTAGTAGCATTGGACATGGCGGGAGATGGAGTGGAGGTTTCCGAGGGAGACGAAGTTGCCGTAGCTACTGCTGTGGTGGCAGAGCATGGGGAGGTGGCAGGGTCAGGAGTGTCTGTCGAAGACATGTTTGCAGGGATTGGGCGAGATTGTAAGGTAGTACGACGAGAAAAAGGAGATACGACCAAAGTGGAAACAGATGCTCCGAAGTGTGTGTGTGTGTAGGGAGGGGTTGAATTTTGGTGACGATCCGGTCGACAGTCAAATGGAGATATCGGTCTCTCTGTAGCAGCGTCAAGCGCGAGAGAATCGTGGTGAGATCAAACGAATGGAAGCGCTTTGGCTGTGAGACACGGGGTGAACTCGAAGACACAAAGCTTTGGGGGGGAGGGCGGGACAAAAGCGCGCGTCGCGGAAGCGTCGATTTGGGGGTTGATATAGTCAAGAAGCGGGATGAATGTAAACAGCTGACCTAGGCAGCTTGAGGCGAAAAGAATCGATGGCTTCGTTAACCAGAGACAGAAGTATATAGGTCCGTGATCGAATCTCAATTGGCGTAGAACCGAGATGTGATGTTGCGAATACTGGCTGAGAGATCTCGGCTCAAGGTAAGCGAAGACAAGGAGATTTGATCGAGGGATCGTGAAAGAGTGAAACGATCGACTGAAGCGAGCGGATAGTGATAATTGAAAGAATGGAATTGAAGTAAAAACAACAAGAAACGAGTGAATGGGGTTGGGGGGGGGGGAGGGAAAAGAAGGGAAGGGAATGAAGATGGCCGGTAAGGAAGAAGAAGAGAAGAAGAGAAGGAGAGAGTAAAGGAAGAAGACAAACGGGTGGAGGGAGAAGGAGTAGGAGTAAGTAAGGCAGGCAGGAGGAGAGGAGAACGGGCTGGGCAAGCGGGTTGAGGGCGACGGGGGACTGGAGCGACCGTCAGTCAGTCAGGAGATGGATGGGATGGGGGAGTTCCCGAAACGGTTAGCGAGTCAGTAGTTGGCGCTGGGCTGTTTTGGCACCGGCTGTTCCTGACTGTCTCCGTGGGGCTGGCCTTTTGCTTCCCCTTCTCTTCGCTTTTCTTTTCTTTTCTTTTTTTTTGCTCTCCTTTCTTTTTCCGGCTTTTCCTTTTTTTTCTTTTGTTTTTTTTGTTTTGTTTTTTGCTCTCTGTCTTCTGT